CATATATAGCTAATGATGTTTTTAAAAGGGCTAGTTCATTTGTTGAATATATATATGCTATGTAAATATTGATTGTTTCTATCATGCTTGTTATAGCTATCGTGACGTTTCAAGCTTGTTTGTTACCACTTCCACGTGAAAAATAAAGAATAAAAAACACACTGCACATTTTTATATTTAACATTTGTCCAGAAGGTAGTCAAGTTGTGATGGGGTGTATGACATGATAATTAAGATAAGGAGATCATGTGGTAGATTATAAGTAGGCTTAATGATGATGTATGTGCTCATCATGCCACAAGAATATACAGTAACTGAGTTGCTGTAGTAAATCCTATGTCATATATGCCTGATGCGAGTAAAAGGAAGTCAAACTTTGTGCAAGTAGCAAAATAAAAGAAGAACTAATGACTTATGGTATTCTGAAGAGAGCAAATTGCCCATTAACCCCGCGGGAGTGGGGGGAGGATGATGTGCTGGTAGTGGCCCTGTCTATGTGTGGCTGCTGGTGTAAGTAGCTATGTAGTTGTGGGTACTGTAGGTGCAGTGGGAATGCGAGCTGGATACTGCGCTCAGATTTGAGGAAATAGGTGTGCATGTTGATTTGGACCCATTAAAGCCTATTGGAGTGCATCCTAGCTAAAAAGAACAACCTACTCATCATAACCTGTACAGAAGTACTTTTAACCCTTCAGTCACAGCCTTATTCAAACAAATGACTAGCTCTTTTAAAAACATATATGACAAGTTGTGAAGCAAAATTATAAAAAAGAGTGGGACACTACATTCAGCTACAATCAGCTTCCATGATTAATAACTTACCTCTGTGTAAGACTTCTTAGTTATATGAACATTCTTAGCTCTATAGGATTGTCTGCGCCTCTTATAGTCTCTCATTTCTGCCATAATTTCAAGGTGAGATTTAGGACCTTTCTGGTCATCATCTGTAAAGAAGTTATAAATTGTTTAGAACTGTTTTACCTTGTCTCTCAGACTTAAACTATAAGATGTCTCGACTGTACCGTATCTTTTTAGATATCAAGCAATAACTTGGGTCACACTAAGGTTTGTTAACATAATTTTACTTAGTGTATCCTCCTTGCAGCATGTGTTAATACAACAGGTAATTTATTTTGCAATTCCAACAGTCAGTTTAGCACATTCAATACAAAAACAAACAAAAAAACCTAAATTTTAGGATTTGGAATCAAAAAGGATGAAAATGTGGGGGCGGTGGCCGACTGCCATGCTGACCGGTCGCAGGCTGGAGAGGCTCCTGCAGGAATTGGCCTACTTTGGGGGAAAAGGCCAAGCTTAAAGCCTGTCTCAGAGCCAAGAGGCCACCTCTCATGTCCAGGTGGTTGCCGTTGCCACTGCGGTCCCCGAGACCGGAAGTTTTGCAGCCCCAGGGGAAATGCGAGGCTTCAGGGCCTGCGGCCTATGTGGGTGACGAGTGGGGCGGACGGCCGCCGTCCCGTGTCAGAACCTGGCTGCCAGTGATGTGTCTCATGGGTCCCTGCTTCCCCCCCATGGACTGGGGGTTTATCCCGGTCCATACTGGAGGGAACCACCGCCCAATCCTGACCCTCCGAGTCCGCCTAACACTGCGCATCCCACGCCTGGGCGCCAAAATGGCAGAGACGCAACTGAAGCCGAGAATCGCATCTGCATCTACCTGCAAGCAGCTCGGCATGCAATAAGCAGCATACACCATGGGCCACGGAGCCCGAACCAGCAGACAAGCGTCCGACCCTCTGACAAGCCCCTACTTACCCACTCACGGATCAAGCCTGGCTCCACGACCACCTTCCCGGGTGGGGAGCCCCCAAAGTTGAAACATCAAGAGCCGGGGGCCGGAGGTGTGGTAATCGCTATACCACCCGAACAGAAGCAGACACCAAGCGTCAGGGGGATGAAGGAGCAGACCACCGCCAGCAAGCGCTGCAGATCTGCAATAAATACACCCCAGATGTCCCAGGCTACAAGATCAGATGGAATGGGTGACACAAATGGCAGTGCAAACACAGTGGTGCCTGCAGCCCCAGGACGCTTGGACCTTGTCAGAGACACTGGCTTCATGTAAATCAAAAGCAGCATCAGACCTCATATGCTCCATAGTACACTGCTGCCACTTAGCTCGTCTTAGCCTCAACTCCAGTGGTCATGTGCTCACTTGTTAATTACTTGACAAATTAAGAGAATTTTCCTTATGCCTGATGTTCCTTACTTGTAAACTTCCTACATGGTCTTACACGCAGGCACACATGCAGCAATACTACACTAAGCTCATGCAGCGTAATCACATTTCACAGGCACACCACACTACATAGCAGTGGATCATCAGTCCAGTTCAGCCATTCTCATTAAGCTTGCTGATACTCCAACGTTAACCCTGTAAGCAAATACATATACCAACACTGATGTAGGGATTGACAAATTGCTGCTACCCAAGTTAGCCTGATCTTAACCTGTGTGATTGTTTCTGTTAACATTTAGCCTGACAACTCGTGAATTATCTGAAATCTTGTGTAATATAATCTTTCATTGTTTTGCTTGTCAATATAAAAAAAAATGTGCCGTACCCCTCACATGCCATGTTAACTAACTGCTTATAATACACTTGTGGATGCTGTTGTGGCACCGTAAGATCAAATGTTGTATGTTTCACACGTAAAAAAAAAATAAAAAAATTTTTTTTAAAAAAATTTTTTTTTTTTTTTTTTTTTAATAAAAGGACAAAATGTAAAAGAATTCCTAATACTGTGGTCCAAAGAATAATTTTAAAAGGACACTGAATTAAAACTTCATAAAACTTACAAAATAACCACAGAAAACATCAAATTTGCAAACTTGGAGTTAAAGGACCACTCTAGGCACCCAGACCACTTCAGCTTAATGAAGTGGTCTGGGTGCCAGGTCCAGCTAGGGTTAACCCATTTTTTTTATAAACATGGCAGTTTCAGAGAAACTGCTATGTTTATAATAGGGTTAATCCAGCCTCCAAAGCCTCTAGTGGCTGTCTCATTGACAGCCGCTAGAGGCGTTTGCGTGCTTCTCACTGTGAAAAATCACAGCGAGAAGACGCCAGCGTCCATAGGAAAGCATTGTAAATGCTTTCCTATGAGACTGGCTGAATGCGCGCGCAGCTCCTGCCGCGCATGCGCATTCAGCCGAAGAGGAATATCGGAGGCGGAGAGCTCCCTGCCCGGCGCTGGAAAAAAGGTAAGTTTAACCCCTTTCCTCTCTCCAGAGCCTGGTGGGAGTGGGACCCTGAGGGTGGGGGCACCCTCAGGGCACTATAGTGGTCCTTTAAGCACAGGAAAAGTTTTGCCCCAGCAGAAAACAGACACCACCTTTAAGAAACTGAGATCAGGTGAATCATGTTGAAGTGGAAATAAGGCTAATTGCAACAGAGTTTCAGAGATTTGTCTACAGTGCTTACTAAAGCCTACTGCTTGCTCTAAGAAACTTTCACTGCAGCTGGGATTCTGGCATTTAACTGATCCATCCGCTACAAAAGTATTTTAAGATATCAGCCTCCATAAAGATATCATCCAGCGGTTAAACCTCCAATTGCCATACGGGTCTTGCTGCCTGTGAAGAAGTGGTAGTATATTCCACAGGAACACTTTACTTTTTTTATATATCACTGACTCTGTTGCATCATTTAGTGATTATTCATACTGTGTTAGTGGCTGTTGATAGCAATAGTTATGAATACTTTTTTTTTTTAAACATAATAAATAGATTATTTTACACAATTTATGCTTATTGGTATATGTCTATACCAATACACACACACATACATATAGCACACCACTGGGGAAGTATGCATAGATATATAGGCTCTGCGCAAAATTGCTAATATATCTGTATAAGAACCCATTAGAATCTACTATGGGACCGATCTACTAAGTGCTTACACTTTCAATGCACTATTTGTTTTACGATTTTAGGAATAATGTTTTATGTGTTTAGCAGCTTTTACCATTGTTCTTAGTATTATCTGCGCTTTTTTGTTTAACAATTTTAACTGGGTTGGGAACATGCAGCACAGATTAAATGAATTACAATTCAGGCTAGACTCATTTAAGATAAAAGCAAAAAGTCTTACCTTAAATGGCATCAAAGTGTGTTGGAGGGAAGGTGAGAACACACTTGCAAGAGATTCTGAGTGCACCTGGCAAACAGTTAGTTGCTGCTGGGTAAAAAGCCTCTCTAAGTCCTGGAAACCAAGATTGAAGCAGGGAGAAAAAAAAAAAAAAAAAAAAAATATATATAATTTTGGCGCCTGAATTTTGAAATCGCATTGCGCATGTGCAAATGCGTGCCGCGATTCCACGATTGAAAGCATCGCAACCTGTGTGTTCCCCCGCCAGGACGTCCCAGCGAGCGCACCATCGTCTGCCCGGCACGGTACAGACGGAAGAAAATACAAACAGGGGAGATGCAGATGTCCAGCGTGCTTATCCCTGGCAGATCTCAGAAAAAAGTGAAAAAAAAATAGAAGCAGAGCCTCCCAAGCCTCAGCCCTTTCACCTTACTCCTTGGGAAAAACCTGACACCCTCATCTGTCGAAGGCAGGCAAAGAACTGGGGCTTAGATAAGAGACACTTTATAGTGCCAAAGGTTAATTGGGGGGAGGTTCTTGAAAGTTTTGGGGATTGCCTGCCTGTTTTTTTTCCCTCCAGATTAGAAATCCCTGTTATAAAGCACTGCCTCTAATCTGAAGGGAAAAGTGATTTTAAAAAAAAACAAAAAAAAAAAAAAACCCCATACACAAGCTTTTCCGTAGGTAATGGGGAAGAATTCCTGGAACTGAGGTAGGCAAGACTCACTATATTAAGAGAAACTGGCACTCAGGAATTGATGTGGTGGTTGTCTTTACTAGCATTCACACAGCACTGTGGCCAGCAAAAAGTAGTCGTCTCACAAGAGCTATGTGAACACTTTTCTAGGGAAATCCCTTTAAAATAAAAGCCAATTAGAACTGAATGGTAAAATAAGGTATACCTTGGTTAACACAGATCAGTGGTTGTGCATTTTCTCGCCAAAACCTGGACTTTGCCTCTATTATTTATAAAATGTTTTATTTATAAAAATATTTTACCAGGAAAGATACATTGAGATTTCTCTCGTTTTCAAGTATGTCCTGGGTATACATGCGTGTACAGACAAATATACATTAAGGTTTAATAAATTTATACGCAAAGAGGAATTATAAATTGCTCCCTTAGTCAGCAGTAAGTGTTAAGGACACAATGTACATAAGTCAGCTTACTTGTGTATGTGTCTTGCATGTATGTGCATAGTTGCTTGAAGATTGAAAAGATGCTTACAGCAGGTTAACAGATACTACTTTGACATGGGTAAACCTGTTTATTCTCGCCTTTCAATGTTCTGGCGTTAAAATAGCATTGTCAAGTCCTAAAAAACTACTACAACAGTGGCTTTCCATCAATATCACAAAAGCTGATAGACTATAAAGAATTGTCTATTTGGTAATATACCCCAATTAAGAAAAGCACATCAGAACATATTTTCTAATTATGAGGATTTTTCATCAGGATGTGGAACAAACCTAACAAGAAAATCATTGGCTGGCATTCAATTTTTTTTATTCTTAATATCGTCACTTTCCTCATACGTGTCTACAATCAAATTTCATAACATGCAGCAAAGAGAAAGGAAGTTGGTTTTCATTTTTCCAGATGCTTACCTTGGTTTATCTTCGCAGCCAAATCCTCAAATAAATCAGATTGGTTCTGATCCAGGGCAGATAAAGAGCGCATATTCTTTGTCTCCAGAAGGACATGGTCATAGATGGCAAGGCGGTCAGCAGGTGTCAGGTCACAGATAGCATGCTTGTGATTGTGAGGAACGTCAACAGAAGAAGAGGAGTATGCACCTTTAGAATGGAGAAGGAGGCATAATTATGTTATGTTCCACGAAATAGCTCAACTCATCACATAGGGGGATTATCGCAAATGTTGCTAATAGTTTCCCCGATTGTCAGTTTGCAGTATATATTAGCTATTAAAAAAAGAGTCTGATAACTAGCACTTATTTGAGTTTTTAAAGAAACATGAAGCAAATAAGTTCCAAAGAGACAAAAAGTCAGTATACAAAATGCACAAATGTGACTTATTCACAAAAAAAAAATAAAAAAATGTGCTGTGATAGAAAGTTAAAACTAATGATAATATACCACAGGGAGAAAATCATATAGACACTTCACAAGATAGTTGCTAAATGCAGCAAGAAGTGACACCTCTGACCAAGTCCCCCCCCAAAAAAGTGTATGTTGTGAGCGGTTGTGAACGCGTAATCTGATGTAATAGGATAAACAAACTAGTTCCCTGCCAAATTGGAAAAAAAGGACACACACCCTATTTGCTACATAGAAGTAGGTTTACACTGGACTCAAATGATCACTTCGACTTACAAAGTAAGTTCACAACTACTCAACATTTTGATGTACCCATTGCGAGGGAGCTATTACATCTGATGACTGCTTTGTATCTTCATATAGTCAACCAAGGGAAATTATGACATTTTTGGAAACTGGGGCACGGAATTGATGAAACACTATTTCCGGAGATTGTTTGCATTGAGTGAAATCATGATCAATCACCCCTCCCCCCTAATAAAATAAAAAAATTAATCATAGATCGGACAGGTGTGCACTTTTGGGCAACTGCTTACAGGCAGACATGAAACTGTGTGTCATACCATAGGCTACAGAGGCATTTGTCGACATTTTGCTGGCTTCTAAAAGCTACACACTTATCACTTTGGTGAACACAATACATTTAAAAGATTATGTCACACTTCCTTTCCTAGGATTAAACCATAACGTTTTAATTGTATTTCATTCGATGATGAATAAAAAAAAAATATGCATTTAAAACAAAACAAATAATAGTCTGGTCAAATATTTTCTGTGACTTCTTGTTTTGTAAAACCAATGCAATCTTTATGTACCAAAAAAAAAAAAAAACAACCACTTGTCTTTCCAAAAGGATATTTTTAAAAAGGATACTGAATATACACAGTGGTTCACATCTGTACATTGTCATGACTTTAAATCCGCTTTATACTCACCCCTGTTACAAAAAGAGAAACCAAAAAAAGAACCATGTTTGTAGTAAAATATATAAGTGCAATGAGTAATAGAATGAGCGGAAAAAAAAAACAAAAAAAAAAAACACACACAACATACATACAGATTGATTTACATAATGCTCTTAGCTGAACAACAGAAAGGTTTCACTGCTATCACTAGACAACTACAAGAGTCATGTCAGCAAATGCTAATGGCAAATAAATGGCTGTCGTCATTGGGCAGGGCATTTGCACCGTTATACAGCAGTTTAAAAATGGTCTACTCATTGTGTTGGCCATTTTTCAATACCTGTACACATACTGGTTTATATAAGATAAAAGAACAAAAACTAACACATTGCTTCCTGTGATCTTCCACTACCCATGATTAGAGTATACACAGCTCATTTCTTTTCCCTGCGCAAATGTAAAGTAAACGTACTCTAAAAACCTACTTGCATTCACTCTTGTGTTCCCGGTTGACAATACTTTTGGAAATTGTAATACCCAAAGGGCTGGGAAACTGACCATCACAACCACTTATGTTTGTATTCGTGGGAGAGGTCATCTATTCCCATGCTGTAAAATTATCACTCATGCCCATACATAGTCTTGAAATATACACTTTTCAGTCTTACTTACTTTCCTCATATGATCCATCAGCTCTGCTACTAGAAGCATTGTCCCTTGTTTCCTTGATTATCTGAAACTGTTGGACTTTATCTAATGGGGTGAGAAGCAAAATGTTATTAGTTAGCATATGTTCACCTGCATTTCAATATGAGCTTAATATAAAACATTTGTACACATTATTTCAGTAATCCTTTGCTAGCATTGTCTCACAGGTTTTTCTTCTTTTATTAGCGGAATCACATATAGCATAAATAGAGGTAAAGCATTATCAGATTCAGGTTTTTTTTTTTTTTTTTTTTTTTTTAAGGATCACTAGTGCGTCAGGAAAACTAAGCGGATTTCCTGACACTATAGTGCCCTGAGGGTGCCCCCACCCTCAGGGACCCCTCCCGCTGGGCAGCTTACATTTTCCAGCGCCGGGCTCCCTCGGCGCTGATGACCTCTCCTCCCCCGCCAATGTCAGCGGAGCTGCACGCGCATTCAAGCTGTCAACAGGAAAGCATTTTTCAATGTTTTCCTATGGACGCTCTGCGTGATGGAGACATAATATGCCTCCAGCGTCACAGATGTGACTCTAGTGGCTGTCCGAAGACAGCCACTAGAGGCTGGCTTAACCCTGCAATGTAAACATAGAAGTTTCTCTGAAACTGCTATATTTACATCTGCAGGGTTAAAACCTGAGGGACCTGGCACCCAGACCATTTCATTGAGCTGAAGCAGTCTGGGTGACTATAGTGTCCCTCTAAGTAACAATATAGCAATGCACAAATTGGCTATTCGTACAATGTTTTTGAACCTCCCTGACACACACTGGTGCAAATAACCAAACTGTACAGGTTCAAGACAGCTAATTTTAAGGTTAAGCTATTTTGAAATAAAGTTTTATATTCTCAACCCTGAATGTCATTACACACTCTACCTGATCAGGAAACCCACATAAGATATATCATGAAATAGAATAAGGTGCCAGAAGCAAACCTATCTGAAGTCAATGTAAGCTCACAAGCAGGGCCCCTCTACCTGTTGTATCGGTCTGTTCTTATTGTATTGTCTTTTTCCCCAATTGTACAGTGCTGCGGAATATGTTGGCGCTTTATAAAAACCAGTAATAACGTAAAAACAGCTATTTAATTAAAGGAGCAGTTTGTCATATCTAATAGAATTAAGTCCTTGGTGGGATTATCAGTGCTTACTTGGCTTTTTATCAGTGTAAAACGGAATATACAATCATTGTTATTTATAAAAGGGCAAAGTTCTGAATGTGAAGTCAACATGCACATTAATTATATTTTCATGAAAATTGCTCCACAATTGCAGTTTATAACCAAGCCCCAAAGCCTTAGGGAAGACAAAACAAAATTCTCTCAGAGATGCAATTTTCCTTCCCACCACCATTTGCATGGAGACAATTATTACTGGCATTTATATATCACCAACTGAATACTTTTATAAATGTAAAATCAAAGGAGTATGTATTAAATATTAAAGGGGCACTGCAGTGTCAGGAACACAAATGTGTATTCCTGATCCAATAGTTCTAAAACCACTGTTTAGATGGTCGGCCCCCTTACCTCCTAAGAGAAAGGTTATTTACTTTTCCAGGGCTCTTTGCATCTGGCCCCACACCTGGTCCACCTCCGTGCCGGATATCATCAACATTAACAATCTAAGCCAATCAAAATACTTTCCCATCGGGAAGAATTAGATTGTCTGAGAATGTCAATTCTGATGATAGCCAAGGAGGCAGGTCAGAGGCGGTGCAGGATGCCACCCTGGCCAATTAACATCTCCTCAAAGAGATGCATGGAGTGTGGAGACGCTGAACATCAGAACTGCCCCAGGAAGCACCTCTAGTGACTGAGGAGTGGCCACTAGAGGTGTGCCTAGGCTGTAATTTAAACACTGTCTTTTTCTGGAGAGGCAGTGTTAATAAAAAACCTGCAGGGACATGCTATACTCACCAGAACAACTACATTAAGTTGTAGTTGTTCCGGTGACTATAGTGTCCCTTTAATCTTTTTTTAACATTATTCCAATGAATAACTACTAAGGAGATTATTATTTTCTTCATTGGAAAGAAATAATTACGACATAAAAAACAACTAGTTTCAAGCATGTCTCAACAGGTAAACTGGTAATAAGCAATATGTGTTTCTTAATATACATACCAATAACAACTGAAGGTACATTTGATTTTTCATAGAAAAAGCACGTGTCCATTACGTCTGTCTAGATGGGTAGGAATAAAAAAAAAAATTTTTTTTTTTTAAATTAAGCATTAATAGGAAGTTAAAGAATGCAAATAATTAGAGATATGGAAATCCTCCAAGTACTTACCTCCTCCTTACTATAACCAAGCTTTCGCAGCCTACACTTCGTAATATGCCTATCCAGTGATGATCTAGGCATTCGGTGATTATCATCATATGGACATATTGCAGAATTCTAAAAGGGAGAAAAAAGAAACCTCAAATAACCGAACATTCCTATGTAGCTTTACAGCTGGTTCAAAAATTGACACACAATGATTGTATAGTAAAAAAAATAAAAATTTAAATTGAGCATCCATTTAGTTCAGCCTCTCTCACATTTGTTTTTGCCACTGATCCAAAAGAAGGCAAAAACCCAGTCTGAAGCACTTCAAATTTTTCAGCAAACTAGGAAAATTTCCTCCTTGACCCACAGAATGGTAGTCATATCTCCTGGATGAAAAAGATATATCTCCACTAATTAAAAAGTATATCATTGTATATTATATTTTGCAAGTATTTATCAAATCACATGTTCACACATCTATAGATTCTGATTAAACCACCTCTTCAGGCATAGAATTACACATCTTTATTGTTCTAAATTCAAAAAAAACTATTATCCTTTCTTCCAGTCTAAATGTCTGACCTTGTGTATAGTCCGGTTTATGAATAGATATCCAGACAATGGTTTGTATTGACACCAAATATATTTGTATAATGCCATCATATCCCCTCCGAGGAGACGTTTTTCCAAACTAAAGAGATTCATAACTAAAATGCACCATTCCTTTTTATCAATTTTGTAGCCGGCCTCTGCACACTTTCTAGTGTCATAATATCCTTCTTTATAACAGGTGCCCATAATTTCACAGCATATTCAATGTGTGGTCTTACCAGTGATTTATAAAGAAGCAAAATTATATTTTCATTGCTATAATTATTATCCATATTTATACATGACAATATCTTACTGGCCTTTGCAACTGCCGAGTGACACGACATATTGTTGCCTAGTTTGTTGTTTGTAACAATTTCCAAATCATTCTCATGTGTTATCTCTAATTCACCACCATTTAGGGTGTAAGTTGCTTGTGCGTTACTTACCCTGAAGTGCATAACTTTGCATTTTCTACATTAAATGTCATCTGCCATTTGAATGCCCAGTCCCCCAATCTAAATCCCTCAGCAGCAAACCAATATTCTGCTCACATTGTATTACTTTACAGAGTTTTGTGGCATCTGTAAACACAAACATTGATTTTAATGCCTAGTTCAAGATCATTTCTTAATATATGTGGTCCCAGAACAGAACCTTGAGGGATACATACCACTTTCCACTTTACCCAGCAAATGTACCATGATTTTTTACTTGAATACTTACCTACGGTAAGGAATTGTATCAAAAAATCTTGGCAAAATAAGCAGATCACATCCACTGCAACACTCCTATGTAAACGACTACTTTCTTATTTGTACGGATGTGCATGGGCAAAAAATTCGGTTTGGTACTTCCGAAAATTCGGTTCGGCACGGGAATTCGAGAGCTCAGCAATTCCGTAACCTTATCCCTCACCATCCCTAGGGGTAGGGTTAGTGGAAGGTTGGGGTAATGGTTAGAGTCCTGTCCTTTTACCTCCCTCTCCTGTTTTGCCACTTTTCAGAAATCCAAAGGACTTCGGCACCTCTGAGATTCGGGCACTTCAGAAATTTTGTTCGCATCGGGACTTTGGCAGTTCGGTTTGGCAATTTCTAAATTCGGCAGTTACGAGCATCCGAATTGCCGAAATTCGTCCAAATTTAAATTCGGACCGAAACAAAATTGCACATGTCTACTTTTTTGCAATTAAAGGGACACTATAGTCACCAGGACAACTGCAGCTTATTGTAGCTGTTTTTGCAAGTACAGTCATTCCCTGCAGGTTTTTTTAATGTAAGCACTATCTTTTCAGAGAGAAAGCAGTATTTACTTTACAGTCCTTATAACCCCTCCAGGTGCAACTTCACAGTGTGCTGCTCAGACGTTCAGCGTTTCCATGGACTCTATGAGCCAGGCTGGCGTTTGTCCCCATTTCCTTCACGATCTTTCCTATGGAAAAGCATTGGATTGGTTAAGATAATCAATTCTGATGTCATCCAAAGAGGTAGACTGGTGGCAGGGCCAGCCTGGAAATAAGATAAGTTTTAACCCTTTCTAAGAGGGCTAATGGTGGTTTTAACACTATAGGGTCAGGAATACACGTTTGAGCTCCTGACCCTATAGCGTTCCCTTAAGTTAGTTTGGCATGACCTGTGTTTCATAAAACCATGCTGATTATTGAGATATATACATATCTCTCACTGGAGAAATGATAGCTATGTAAAACTTCACATGTTTTAGGCTAAAAAAAAAAAGAATCTTTGACAGTTTTAAAGTCCTTACACGAAGTCAAATTTACCTGCGGAGTTTAATTAACACCTGCTCCATCCTAGCACCAAGTTTCAGTTTCCTGCGTAAAGTTTCAAGTACCCACTATGCATTGCCAGAAACAGGCACTGCTGAGCTCATTCACCCATGATGCACTGCCAGAAACAGACACTGCTGAGCTGCATTACCCATGATGCACTGCCAGAAACAGACACTGCTGAGCTCCTTTACCCACGATGCATTGCCAGAAACAGACACTGCTGAGCTCCATTACCCATGATGCATTGCCAGAAACAGGCACTGCTGAGCTCCATTACCCATGACGCATTGCCAGAAACAGGCACTGCTGAGCTCCATTACCCATGATGCATTGCCAGAAACAGGCACTGCTGAGCTCCCTAAGCCATGATGCATTGCCAGAAACAGGCACTGCTGAGCTCCTTTACCCATGATGCACTGCCAGAAACAGGCACTGCTGAGCTCCTTTACCCATGATGCACTGCCAGAAACAGACACTGCTGAGCTCCTTTACCCATGATGCACTGCCAGAAACAGACACTGCTGAGCTCCTTTACCCACGATGCATTGCCAGAAACAGACACTGCTGAGCTCCATTACCCATGATGCATTGCCAGAAACAGGCACTGCTGAGCTCCCTAACCCATGATGCATTGCCAGAAACAGGCACTTCTGAGCTCCCTAACCCATGATGCATTGCCAGAAACAGGCACTGCTGAGCTCCCTAACCCATGATGCATTGCCAGAAACAGGCACTTCTGAGCTCCCTAACCCATGATGCATTGCCAGAAACAGGCACTGCTGAGCTCCATTACCCATGATGCGTTGCCAGAAACAGACACTGCTGAGCTCCATTACCCATGATGCGTTGCCAGAAACAGGCACTGCTGAGCTCCCTAACCCATGATGTATTGCCAGAAACAGGCACTTCTGAGCTCCCTAACCCATGATGCATTGCCAGAAACAGGCACTGCTGAGCTGCATTACCCATGATGCATTGCCAGAAACAGGCACTGCTGAGCTCCTTTACCCATGATGCATTGCCAGAAACAGGCACTGCTGAGCTCCCTAACCCATGATGTATTGCCAGAAACAGGCACTTCTGAGCTCCCTAACCCATGATGCATTGCCAGAAACAGGCACTGCTGAGCTGCATTACCCATGATGCATTGCCAGAAACAGGCACTGCTGAGCTCCTTTACCCATGATGCATTGCCAGAAACAGGCACTGCTGAGCTCCCTAACCCATGATGCATTGCCAGAAACAGGCACTGCTGAGCTCCTTTACCCATGATGCATTGCCAGAAACAGGCACTGCTGAGCTCCATTACCCATGATGCATTGCCAGAAACAGGCACTGCTGAGCTGCATTACCCATGATGCACTGCCAGAAACAGACACTGCTGAGCTCCATTACCCATGATGCATTGCCAGAAACAGGCACTGCTGAGCTCCATTACCCATGATGCACTGCCAGAAACAGGCACTGCTGAGCTCCTTTACCCATGATGCATTGCCAGAAACAGGCACTGCTGAGCTCCTTTACCCATGATGCACTGCCAGAAACAGGCACTGCTGAGCTCCTTTACCCATGATGCACTGCCAGAAACAGGCACTGCTGAGCTGCATTACCCATGATGCACTGCCAGAAACAGGCACTGCTGAGCTCCTTTACCCATGATGCACTGCCAGAAACAGGCACTGCTGAGCTCCTTTACCCATGATGCACTGCCAGAAACAGGCACTGCTGAGCTCCTTTACCCATGATGCACTGCCAGAAACAGGCACTGCTGAGCTCCTTTACCCATGATGCACTGCCAGAAACAGGCACTGCTGAGCTGCATTACCCATGATGCACTGCCAGAAACAGGCACTGCTGAGCTCCTTTACCCATGATGCACTGCCAGAAACAGGCACTGCTGAGCTCCTTTACCCATGATGCACTGCCAGAAACAGGCACTGCTGAGCTGCATTACCCATGATGCACTGCCAGAAACAGACACTGCTGAGCTGCATTACCCATGATGCATTGCCAGAAAAAGGCACTGCTGAGCTCCATTACCCATGATGCTTTGCGATCACTAGCCAACCCTAGCAGCTCTCAAAGTTCCCATGATCCCTTGCCGGTAACCCCTGGATCCCACAGCCGTGTTTGAAGTTTTCCCATGATGCTTTGCCAGGCGGTTGGTCTCTGAGCTCGGATACCTGTATGAGGCCACACACACTGCGTTACTAATCATACACAGTGTACCCGGCCCGCCTCACCTCTCCCTCCTCGGGGAAATCCTCAGCCCACTCCAGCTCGTGCAGCAGCTCGGACAGCTGGCGCTGGCACCGCTCGGTGTAATCCTGTAACTCCCGCAGTAGCCCGCGGTGGGCAACGATCTCCGGGTCCTCCATCACACGGCGTGTGGCTTGGAAAGTGCAGCGTGGCTCCGCCCACTGTGGGAGGGGCTGGCAGTTCCTGTGGGCAGTATGTCCTAGTAGCTCCGCCCATGTGGGAGGGGCTGGCAGTGTATCATAGTAGCACCGCCCCCTGTGGGAGGGGCTGGCATTTACGGTGGACAGTGTGTCCTGGTAGCTCCGCCCCCTGTGGGTGGGGCTGACAGTACCTGTGGGCAGTGTGTCCTGGTAGCTCCGCCCCCTGTGGGAGGGGCTGGCAGTTCCTGTGGGCTGTGTATCCTAGTAGCAGCGCTGGAAGGTGTGTGATCCCAGGTATAATGTCTCCCTTATAGTACAACGTTTCCATCCCATTCATCGGCAATTTACATCATTCCGCCCACTACCTCCTCCCTTCCTCCTGTACCAGTGAGCACCAGGGTTAGGGAGGGATAAGGACTGACCCCCAACACCCTGAGAGTGTAAACATTAGATGACTCTTTACAGGAAGTGTTTAGGAAGGCTGTGCAAGTCACATGCAGGGAGGTGTGACTAGGACTGCATAAAGAAAAGTGATTAATTCCTAAATGGCAGAGAATTGAGCAGTGGGACTGCAGAGGTATGAGCTATACAACAAAACTGCTTCATTAAGCTAAAGTTGTTTTGGTGACTATAGTGTCCCTTAAATGTTTGTAGTCTGGTGTTCTGTTGATGGATACAGCGGCTACAACGAAATCCTCAGTAAGTGCAGCACTTGTGCATCGTTAACAGAGCAATGACCATGCAACTTTTCAGTCCCTAGTCCGCTATATAAATGGGCATCCCTCAAGGGGAGCTGTGCCTGTGTGCATCTTTCTTTATGTAAATGGCACCATATGCCCGACCTTTTACCAATATGACCCTTAAAGTAAGCTTATTTTGTTTGGGAAATTGTATAAATACCTACCATTCTTCATTTGTCTTCCTTCTCCTTTTCATATAATTTTATTTTTATGTATTGTTTTCACATTATTGTTAGTAAAATATAACTAATGGGCTAAATTTTTATGATTTTGTACTCCTTTCCTGGGAGATTTGTTCTTTCAATTAAAGGGACACTCCAGGCATCCAGACCACTTCTGCCCATTGGAGTGGTCTGGGTGCCAACTTCCACTACCCTTAACCCTGCAAGTGTAATTATTGCAGTTATTTATAAACTGCAATAATTACCTTGCAGGGTTAACTCCTCCTCTTAGTGGCTGCCTACTAAACAGCCACTAGAGGGCACTTCCGTGTCTATAGCACAGGTTTTCTGTGCTCCAGCGTCGCTCAATTCCCCATAGGAAAGCATTGAAAAGCATTTTCAATGCTTTCCTATGGAGAGCTCTAATGCGCGTGCGTGGCATTGCTGCGCATGCACATTAGGTCTCCCCGGCCAGCGGGCGGGATCAGTCTCGCCCACCGGCTGACGTAAGGAAGGGGAGGGACATCGGTGGGGGTCTCAGGTAAGTGACTGAAGGGGTTTTCACCCCTTCAGCAACCGGGGATGGGAAGTGAGAGGGAGAGGGGACCTGCAGTGCCAGGAAAACTAAAAGAACTACTTACATAATTTTCTTGGGATAAAGGTTAACTTTAAAATTTCCATTATAGTTGGTAAACCTATAACATACAATATTGCAATGCTATAATTTCTCTAACTCTTTTTCCACTACAGCACAAACTGACTCACTGATGAGTATTGATGAAGGTCTGAAAAACCAATTGAGAGCAGCTGGGCATGTGTAAAAGGTTGATAGTTTTTCTAATCGTCGTGTTTAGTCCTAGAACTAACAGCTCTTCCTTACAAGCATTCTGAGGGTGAGAACAGGATATTGTCGGGTCGGTGATGGCACAGGGGCTTTAATAAAGTAAAAGAAACCAAGACAAAGGTATCCGAAGAAGGGTCAGACAGAAATCAGAGTCAGACGGTCAAGAGGTCAGGGCAGGTGACAACCAGCAAGGACAGGAAACGCAGAGAGGCAAACGCTAGTAGTTCTGAGGCAGGCAACAAAGTAACCAAGCTCTGATTGCTCTACTTAGTAAGGAGTGGCTGACTTACATAACCTGGTCTCACCTGTAGGAGGGGTGACCTGAGGTTAATATGACTGGCTGTGAGACTCCTCTTTCACATCATTGTCCTGGCTCCACCACCAGGCTCGCTGACCAGTCTCCTCATGCGGTGACCACCATCTTGGAATACAGGCACGGCCATAACTAGTTCCCCTGCTGCAAATGAGGATTAGAAGATGCAGACTGGGATTCAACAGGCACTATGACTGGCACACCTTCAGGGCATTGTCGGCAAATGTGACCATTTACCTGTAGGCTCATAGGCTAGCCTTACACATATTTATTCATACACAGGGACACAAATCAGCACATCTATATACGTAAGGACGGTTGCCAAACACACAATCCCATACATATGTATTTTTATACAGACGACAAAAAACAAACACTTGGGTATCTATTCACTAAGCAGTGAATTGTAGTAAAAACAGAATAAGAAAATTTAGGCTAAAATCAGTATTTAAAACAATAACTAAAAGTCACCTGTGCTTTGTTAAAGGACCACTATAGTGCCAGGAAAACAAACTCGGTTTCCTGGCACTATAGTATTAATAGGTCCCCCCCACCCTCATTGCCCCCATCCCGCTGAGCTGAAGGGGAAGGAAGGGATTAAAATCTTACCTTTTCTCCTCCTCCTTCGGACGTCATCGGCTGAATGCGCATGCGCGGCCAGTCAGTGCATAGAAAAGCCTTCTCAAATCACAGTGAGAAGCGAGGAAGCGCCTCTAGCGGCTGTCAATGAGACAGCTACTAGAGGCTGGATTAACCCTAATGTAAACATAGCAGTTTCTCTGAAACTTCATTAAGCTGAAGTGGTCTGGGTGCCTATAGTGGTCCTTTAAGGGTTTATTTAGCCAAAATGTTGAGTGAATTTAGTTATCCCTCTCGAGTCTATTTATCGCTGTCAGAAGGTAACACTTCTTACAGATTGAACATTTTTGGGGGGCTTTTTTGCCATTTATGATATTTTTGTACAAGCGATCTGACTATATTTATATATTATTCTTGAATTATACATACTTGAGAATTAACTTATTTTGATCTTCTTTATGAATTGTGTAACTGGTATGTTTTTAAAATTTTTGGATTTTGTACATTGCAGTGGTAAAATTAACATTACTTTTTGCCAAAATCTAGTCATTAGCTGGTTGGGTTTTTGTATTGGTCTGCATTATCTAGTTTACATATGAAGTTGTGTGTATATATATATATATATATATATGTTTTGTTTTTTTCCCCCCAATTATAGAGACTATAATAGGCTCATCGTAACTTTCAGTCTGAGGCCAACAAAGCTCTTAATCCAGCACATCACATCTCAAACAAAACCACTCAAACTCGAACCACTTGTTAACACACAGGCCATACAATTTTTGTACTAGGAGATACTGCTCGAAAGTGGCATGATAGAATACCAACTCTCTTCAAAATCCACGGACCATAACACTATTACATTATGAGAGTGCACACCCCAAACATCTGAAGGATTCACTTCCTCACTCTCATTTCTTAAAGGGACACTCCAGACACCCAGACCACTTCTGCGCATTGGAGTGGTCTGGGTGCCAACTTTTCATAAACTGCAATATTTACCTTGCAGGGTTAACTCCTCCTCTAGTGGCCAATAGAGGGCACTAACATGTTTATAGCACACGCTATGTGAGGACCTCCAGCATCGCTGAAATCCCCATAGGAAAGCATTGAAAGCATTTTTCAGTGCTTTCCTATGGGGAGATCTAACGCGCATGGGCATCAGGTCTCCCCGCCGGATGACGTCAGCGGGGGAGGAGCGTGGGTGGTCCCCGCACCAGCGCCGAGGGACATCGGCGCTGGATACAGGTAAGTCACTGAAGGGGTTTTAACCCCTTCAGCAACTTGGGATGAGAGGGAGACGGTTTGATTTCCTGGCACTGGAGAGTCCCTTTAAGAGTATTGAGAAATAATTCCAGAAAACCGCAAAGTGAAATACAGGAGATGTATGAGAAATTTTTAAGAAGGGGCTACACACTGAGAATATTAGACAAATCTCTACAGAAAGCAAGAGACAAATTCCAGGGTACTGTGGCAACGGTTCGGAAGGAGACTCCGCCAAGAATTACGTTCCATATGATATATAATACAGCGAGCATGGAGTTGATAAAAACTATCAATAAGATTTGGAATATACTTGAGATCGACAGATCCCTTCCCAAGATTCTATACAACAAACCCATGATTTGCTATAAAAGGAATAAAAATTTGCGAGACCAATTGGTCCACACATATCCGGTTCAAAACTAATTGCCAGTCAATAAAAATACAGCAAACCTGGGATGTGTTAGATGCTTGAGATTTGTTACTTGTGGGCATCGCATTCCCTGTAAAAGTTTCAATTATCCGCACATAGGGGAAGTGTTAAAAATGCCACATAGGATAAGTTTTACAAATTGGATGATTTACAAATTATCTTGTCCCTTAATTATGCAGGAAAGACAGAGATGGCTTTATGTGAAAGGATAAGGGGACATCGGTCTGGTATCCGTTTAGCATACAGGGACAATAAAACGGACAAAACCGGTTGAACGGCACTTTTTGGAAATGAACCACCCACTTACGACATTGAAATGTGTAGCAACTGATAACCTTCCAGCTCCCAGAAGAGGGGGTGATAGACAGGCACTGTCACCTAAACACAAATTGTCAGACTTAGAATGTACTCTTGCACTATTCTTCACTTTGACAGCTATCTGTATTACCAGGTTTTTATGCCTCAATTTCTGCACTGGCACTGTTAGACTGTATTGCACACTAAAAATATATGTATTTTTAAAATATTAAGCTTTGAATCAGATCAGTATTTTATGAGCAATTATTGAGATGTCCTGCAATATATATTGTTGTAAAGATGTGTTTATGAACAGTTGCGGCACTCCCCGATTGGGATTTTAGATTTATGCCATGTAAGCAGGGCCAGGTTAAGAGTCCAGTGAGCCTGGTGCTGACAATTATCAGGGGCCTAAGTACAGAATCTTATCTACCAAAAACTCTAAAACAGTCATACCTCTCAAGCGTTATGTATCTGGTGGAGATGTTGCCGGAAGGAAACACATAGGATGCAGCTATAAGAAAACGCAGACTCTCTTAAAATATGCTTCTCGCTCTCTAATTCATGCTTTCACCTTTCAAGTAAATCCATACCCCCTAACAGCAGTGTCCAGTGAAGCAGTAAGTCAATGGGCGGTGTAAAAGGGTGGGCCACTGATGCAGATCACGTAGCCAGAACTTCAGAAAGGGACAAACATGCCCAAAAAGGAGGCATGTCTGTCCAAAGAATTGGAAGGTTAGCCTGGCATGAATGCATGTTAGGCTGCCTGACAATCATGCATGCTGGCCATCAGCATCCTGAGTTTGGCATAAATGCGTCTAATGATGCGCTCGCTCCATGCTTTCTAAGGACTGTCCCCTAGCACTCACATGTCCACTTGTCTCCTTACCTTCTTACTAGCAGGTAGAAGCTCCTGGTATACAGTCTGAGACAGAGAAAAGGTGGATGTAGTGACTGTAGAAGAAAGGGAACATGCCACAGTGTTAGAGAGACCATAGTCAGCATTACCTGAACTAATTTAATTTCAGCTAGTCCACACAAGATTTGTTTCCATATATCCCTCTTAAGTTTCCATACTTAAGCAAGAGTATGTGAAGAGTAGTTATGGTTGCCACCTTACTTGGGAAAAAAATGCAGGCCTTACTAATTTACATAACTAATTATGTATGCGTGACATCACATGATGTAAATCACAAGGAGTGACACAAGAGAAAATTCTGTAAAGTCACCAAAAAAAACTTAGTTTGATTCTGCTGTAAAGATGGATTGCTCCCAGTGTTCCCATGTCACCAAGTGTTCCCTAGTGTCTGTGTCCCCATGTTTCCCAATGTCCCCATGTCACTAAGACCCAGTGTCCCCAAAGACATTTGGGGAAACAGACTATGTATCAGTGTCCCTATGTATCACAGTGTCTCAGTGTCCCCATGTTGCCCCGTGTCTCCTTGTTGCCCAGTGTCTCCTTGTTGCCCAGTGTCCCCTAGTGTCTGTGTCCCCATGTCTCCCAGTGTCACTAGGGGACACTAGGAGACATGGGCACACAGACACTTTGGACACTGGGAGACATGGAACACAGACACTAGGAGACATTGGGACACAGACAATGGGTGTAGGACACGGGGACATTGTGTTCCTAGTGTCTATGTCCCCATGTGTGTCTGTTTCCCCATGTCTGTGTCCCCAAGTGTGTCTGTGTCCCCATGTCTCCCAGCATCCCCTAGTGTCTCAGTGTCCCCAAGTGTTTCAGTGTCCCCAGAGGTCTCCATGTGTCCCCATGTCTCAGTGTCCCTTAGTCTCCCTGCAGCCTTTATCCCATCCCTCACTTCCCTGAGGTATAGACTGTCTCTGCAGGCTGGACTCTCTGTGCTGTATAGCTGCCCCCCCGCAGATCAGTTAGTAGAGAGATGTAGGTATATGCTGTAACTTCCTATCCCTGCCTCGCTCCTCACACACAGCGACCCCTCCTGGCAGGTGCTGGTGTTGCAGCATAATCTCTGTTTATCCGGAGAAAAATACTGGCATTTGTATTGCTGGTAATACTCCAATATCACCACCGGACAGGTGGCAACCCTAAGAGTAGTGTGTAAAAAAAAGTATTACTTTTATTTTTTTAAATAAATGGGTCTATAACTGCAGCTCCATCAGACCTTATGTTAATCCAGCCCTGCATGTAAGTTCTACTATGCAGATACTGGCGGTGTCCATGGAGACGAGTGCAGCTACATAAATGATTACCGGTATGGGGCTCCAGATACACGGGTCCTGGTTACCCAGGTTATGCGGCTTGCCAGTTTAGATGTCCCAGAGGCAGACACATATTAATGAACGGGCGGATCTATGTTGTAGACATTCACAACCTGGTGTTCCTAACTAATGGATCCAGCCCTGGGGAACAGGGATATGATTAAGTCAGCTGTTCCTCAGCCCAACCATGCGCTCTCTAGACGATGGCATGCCAGCCTCCTGCACAGATGAATAGTGAGTAAGTGATTAGGGTCCTATAAATATGTGATGTTTGTAGCAATACACTTGTGTTTGTCCTGAGGAAAGTTCCAAATACGAACTGAAACGTTGACCGTGACACTTTTTGCACGTAAACTTTTTTTGAGAATCCCTGGAGTGCTGATGAATTACTACTTTGTATGTACAGTATTTTTTTTTATCTTTGCCCCAACTATAGAGACTATAATAGGCTCATCATAACCTTCAGTCTGAGGCCAATAAAGCTCTCAATCCAGCACGTCACATCTCAAACAATGTTTTTATATATTTTCTAAAATAAAATATACCTATAACTAGAAAAGCTACAATTTCTGGGGAAATTGTGTGAAGTGTTCTTGCCTCCACCAGTAGTCTACAACTGTAATGGGCGGAGTAACTTATTTATTCATATAGCAAATTTAATTGCAACGTTGTTGCCCAAAGTGCTTCACAGTTACATTAAAACATACATTTATAAAAACATTAGCAGGTGTATAAATGGCCCTGTCTATGACATCACTTGCTGCTCCAGCCTGGCACAGGTCAGAATGTTGTGGCGGTTGCCATCTTCAAACGGTCGTATTTTAAAAACTGTAACTCCTACAGTGAAGAGCTTTATATTGTGAGAATCACAAGACCCAGACCTACATGCACATGCATAGTATGTCTCTGAAGTATTAAAAATGAAGGCACAGTCGCAGTTTAGAAATTGCCCTTCAAATTTGAGCTGGCTAGAGTGGAGTTTCAATAAATGTCAATGGACGGCGTGAGTTGCAAACAAATGATCATATTATGAAAACTATCAGGACTATGGCCTAGCCGTGGACATTTTTAGTGGCAGCAGGGATAGCTGAACGTTTTGATATACGATTTGTGTAGGTGGGCCTGAAAATGAGGGAGTGATGGCAGTTTAGAAATCATGTCCTGATTTTTCAGCTTTTGCCAGCTCCCACTCTAGTTTTGAACATTTTGCCATTAATTCCTATGGGATCAATTTCGCCACAAGAACAATATTATTCCGTGAACCATTCGGCGAAACGTTCCATAAAGTAATAGCAATCCAATCGGGAACAATCCGCACGTTTCGGTATATTACGGTAGTGTAGTGTAAAAACTGTGGGAGGAGTTAGGGTGGTAAATTTGGCTAGAATAAGAATAATATATATGTGAGATAACACTTAACAAGAATTGAACCATGGTTGCCAGTATGAAAAACAAAAAAAACTCTTAATTGCTATGCTACAGGAAAACACAATGTGACAAGAGTATAGTTTCAATACCAGCACTGTGTATCTGCTGATAATGGGTCATCCTATAGCAGCACTGCATTCCTTCTAGGAAGGTTTGCCCCACTCCCAGCACTGTATGTAACTATTGAAGTATGCTGCCAGACGTTCCCAGGTTTCTATGTATAGTTCCAGTATTGTATTCTTCTATATTCTTAAGTATTTTTTTAATTGGATATTTCTATGTTGAGTGTTGATAGTTGTAATAATGTTTTCAGAGCATAGCCAAGGTTTCAAAAATGTTACTACAATTTTTAATTCAATTAATTTTTGTGGAATTTTTTGTGTATTTATTTTTTTCCCTTTCATTTTATATTTTTCTACTTTTTGGAATAATACCTAATGCTGGAATCAGTTGGGAAATTGTTTTGCGTTAGAAATGACAAGATGTATGCATATTTTTTTTCAATTTGTTGTTCAATATAGTTGACTGTTCTGCAATTTATTAATGAGACTTGTGCGTTGTGCTGGCTAGGGACCCTGGCATCCCTGGATACAGTACTCCAGGGAACAAAACCTGGATGGCAAGACAGCTTCCTGAATTAGGGACTGTCCCGCCAAAAGCAGAACAGTTGGTAGTCCTTGAATGGAGCACAAATGTTGTAGATAAAAGGAAAATTAGTATTAAAATTAGTATTAAAAAGGGTCCAGTACTATAACCATTACAATAAACTGTATAGTTAAAGTGACACCATAGTCACCAGAAACCACTACAGCTAATTGTATTAGTTCTGGGCTATGTAGCCTATTCCTGCAGGATGAGGATTGGAACACTGTCTTTATAGAGAAAAGGCATTATTTACATTGCTGCCTAAATCCATCTCCAGTGCCCGTCATGCAGACAGCCACTATAAGGACCTCCTGGACTATGTCCTGCAACCTTTGCAGGACTGAGTCTTCAGCATCTCTGCAGGGAAACATTGAATGCTCCTTATAGAGATGCACTGACTGATGCGTCTATGAGGAGATGCAGATTGGCGCAGTGCAGCAATTTGCCTTGCATGTGCACTAGCCTCTCAATGTTTCCCTATGGGAGCCAGGGAAACGGGGGCAGCCGCAAAAAAAGCTGGCAAGTGGTTGAATATAAGGCAAGTAAGTAGGAGAAGGAGGAGACATTAAATAGTGAAGATTAAATACCACTATAGAATTAGGAATACATATATTTGTGTTATCTAAAACACCAGTAAGAACATATTTTACAATGTAGCGTGTGCTTGATTCATTAATTTGCAATATAGACATTTAATTTTCAAGGTATGAAATCCAGATATGTTGTCTCTTTAGTGTTTAACTGAATTTGTTTTGACTTTAGAATTCCACCAAGCGGCAAGTTTTGTTTTAGTACTTTTTGGGGCTACAACTAATATGCTATATTAAAAACTTTTTTCTTAAGCGTGTAAACAATATGTTCTTAACTCAAAAGGATAGATTGCACTTGGGAGCAATAGTACTGTATAAGATAAAATTAGAGATTGATGGACATGTTCCTCTTCCTTAATCCAAAAGTGCAAAAGCATGTGTGTCTCTGACAAATGTTCTTTATTTATTTTAAGACCAGATGGTATCTGGTTGAAAGAAGAAAAAAAACAAAACTTTATCATAACAACCTTGTATGCTGTAGAAGTATACTAAATGTGGAATTGATGGATCAGATCTGTCAACATAACCTGATTAAGTAACATTTATTTCCCATCTAAGTAATCTTTTTAGACGAAGATCATTTTAGCACAACTATCCCACTTTCATCTTCTGTTCCAGGATTTGCAGATTTATTCTCAAGTATGTCTTTTATACAGCACTGGGAAATGGTTGGAATGGATGTTTTGTGCTTTTTTGGCTAAAATAATTATTTCCTATAGTTAACATTAACTCTTCTCTGTTATAAAGAATACGCTGGAATGTTTGTGATGTTAATTGTATGATATGGCCATAAAGAATTTCATGCACTGACCATAGATCTTTCAAAATCCCTCTTTACAGAACACACATCTGAAAGCTTTTCAGGTTTGATAAAGGTGGTTTTAGAACTGAAAGGTAGTAACTTGTGTTGCTACATTTCCATAATAAATTCCATGTGAATTTCCATAAGAGGTCCTCAGAGTAACAGGTCTTCTTAAATTGCAAATGAATAGTTATTCAGGACTGTTTGACACTATTTGTGGCATTTTTTTTATTAGTACCATAGATTTCTATATTGAATTATGTGAATATGAAAGCCTGCACCTTTTTTTTTTTAGAGAATCAGTCTGTTATTGACTTGTTGCCAAAATATGATATTCTGACTTATACAGAACATTCCAATCTCCCCCTCAAATCACATACTTTGTGTGGCTTGATCTGTATATTATCGTAAAGTGTTGCTTTACAAAACTTTGCATTTTAAAATAAATTACTTACAAAAACAGGTGAAATGTTTCAAACTTTATTCCCAGCATAACAAATAACAAAAAAAAGCAAAGATGAATACAAAAGATGCAACTCCCCAAGGTACAGTAAAATGCAAATGTGCAGAACATTACATAAAAATAGTAAAGTTAATACAATGAACCAACTTTGTGTTACACAATGAGAGAGCAATCTGAACTATATCAGAATTAAACAGCATTAATAGATTTCTAAAAATGTTACATTTTAGGGACAATGGCAAAAGGCAAGAAAGTTTTTTTTTTTTTTTTTAAAGTACAGTTGCAATTATAGACAATACACAGAAAATGTTAACTGCAATACAAATCAGCTGCTACTAAAAACACTGGTAAATACTATAATTCATGCCTAATAATTTCATGTTTGAATAGCCCCGTGTAAAGCCTATCATAATGAAATTAATTTGTGTCAGTGCCTGGAGTACATTCTAGATGAAGAATACATTTGGAAAAACTTGTACCCCTCCAACCCACGTTATTCTGCTTTTACTTTTTTTTAGAAACTAGTAGCCTTTGCTGCAAAACTAATAATAAAAAAAAAAAAAAAATTACAAATGAACACATATTATTGAAAGTATTCTACCATTTAGAGACCCACTAAAGAACTGCTAACAGATTGGAAGGAAGAGGTGCTGTAAGTGGTTGAGCTTGTAGCATCAAAACTTCCTCTTCGTGAACCACTTCGTGAACCAGGCCGAGATCCAGACCGTGATCCTGGTGCAGAAGAGACATTATATGGGCTACTTATGCCTTTAGAGGAAACTGAAGAAGCTTCCAGCATCCGCAAACCTGTTGTGTCTTCAACCATAGAACGATCCATTGCATCTTTATAGGATATTTTCAGTTTAGTTTTAGGACACGTGAGAACTTTTGGATAGTTTGATATATCTCGTAGTTTTTGTGCTGCACGACCATCAATCATGCCTTTTCGAATAGCTTCCTCTGTAGTTACTCTTAACTGTGTTTCTGGATCAATAAGGCCTCCTGTCATATACTGGAATTCTAGAAAGCGTTGTCCAGCTTCATAAGGCAGCCAATTTACTTTCATTGCTTCTGCAGCAGATAGTTTTTTGGACCCTCTTACGCCATCAAATCCAGAATAGGCTTTCTGCGCCTGTTTAAGCCTGGCAGACATATCATGATCTATAATACCCTGGTTAGCAGCATCTTGAATAGACATTCTTTTTCCTGTGGTAGGATGGATTATACCACCAGTACAAGCTTGTGCTTCCAGTAAACGCTGCCCAGTTATTGTGTCAACAATTCCACGTTTGATACCTTCTGAGATGGAGATCTTCTCTATGTTCTCAGTATCAAATATTGCGGCAATAGGAGTGGTTTCTTCTAATGCGTCAGAAAATGAACCACTTTTTGACCATGAACCACTTCGAAACCTAGTTGAAGAGGAAACCGAATCTTGCTTTGATGAAATTAAAACATCATCACTAAGACTTTTGTTGGAGATCATATCTGCAAACTGAGTTAGGCTTAAGGAACCACCACGATATTTGTCAAAATCAGATTTGCTTATCAGGCCCACATCTATTGATTCTTGGACATCATACTGGTTTCCGGTTTTTCGATCAACAAGTACAACTCTTGTGGATCCATCAGATCCTGTAATTGTAATTTCTTCCCATTCGCATTCCTGTTCCGATAGGTCAACATAAGTGGCGTAATCAATGAGGCCTTTATTATAGGCTTCCAGTACAGTCATTTCTCGGTTTGTATCTGGATCAACTATCACAACTCTACGTTTTCTAAGGGTATTTTTTTGTGAGGTCTGAACTGCCTTTTTCTTCTCTCTAAGAGGCAACAAGCATAGGTTTGTCTTCTCATCCACAATGCACCTTTCTTTTAGCTGCAGATATGTCAGATTCTCTTCTGTGTTGGGATCAAAAAATCCCTTTGTGTCATCACTTGGATCAGAAAGAATTTCATTCATATGTTTGTTGAAATATCCACGTTTATACGCAACATCAACTGGCAAACGATGACTTGCTTTGGGATCAATAATGCCACCAGTAGCAATCTGTGCTTCCAACAAACGGATACCATGGCCTTTCTCAATAAGTTCTTTATTCATTGCCTGGAACAAGGATATAATATTTCCAGTTTCTGGGTCTTTGTATCCAGTAACTGCTCTTTCCGCAGATAAAAGTTTTTCCTTGAATTCAATTCCAACAAGGCCTCTCCGGTATGCTTCTTCGACCGGAAGTCTGAGATTATTAACAGGATCAACAATAAAGCCAGTGGCAGCTTGGGCTTCTAAAAGTTCAAGTGTAGTGCCAGGTCTCAACAAGCCTTTCTTCATTGCATCATAAATACCCAGTTTTTCTTTTGTTGCGTCATTGTAAATACCAGCAATACAGCTAGATCCCTGCAAAAAGACTTGGATATCCTTACTGACTTCTTCTACAGTTATCTGTCCAGATTCTAACTGATCAGCTGTAGAAGGCCGTATGATACCAGATTCCACTAACTCATTTATGGGGACATGATTTCGAATACCCTGGAATGAAAGACTTTTCTTCATAACAGGCAGCAGAAGAAATCCTGTGTGTGGCTCAATCCTGCATTTCTTTCTAAGCTCAGCATAGCTGACATTTTTCTTTGTGACTGGTTCAATGAATTTTTTAGCATCATCATTTGGATCATTTAATGTTCTGTGTATGTCTCTGTCAATCACACCTCGTGATAGTGCAACTTCTAATGGTAGGAAGATACTGTTGACTGGGTCAACAATTCCTCCTGCTGCTAGTTGAGCCTCTAGAAGACGGAGGCCTACCTCCCGACTAATTAAATTTTTCTTGATAGCTTCTGCAACAGCTACTATTTTTCCAGAGAAAGGATCTTTAAAGCCAGTGACTGCTTTTTCGGCTGTATATACTGCCTCTCTGTCTTGGAATTCTATAAGATCTCTTGCTATAGCATTGTCTACTGTCAGCTTCTCATTCCTTTGCAGGTCAATTATTCCACCAGTAGCAGCTTGTGCCTCTAGCAGCATTACAGTGCTTTCAGGTGAAATTAGTTTTTTTCTTTGGGCATCGACTAGTGTGTATTTCTCTTTAGGTGTAACTGAAACACCTGCTATAGCACCAGCACCTTTTAGAGAAGGTTCTATTTCTGCAGCAACCTCTTCTACTGATTTTTGCCCCTTTACAAGCTTATCAAAAGTTGATTTGGTTATTATTTGACATTCAAGAAGTTGAAGAGCTGTAATTTTTTTTCTAAGTCCATCAAATACAAATTTCGATGCATCTTCGTCAGTTTGAGTTTGAATATTTGTGGTAAGAGGGCGCCTCTTAAGATTTTCCAGCTCCCTTTCTAATGCTAATCGTCGTGCTTCCAATTCAGATTGGGTCATACTGGTTTCTTCTAATTTACGCCGATATCGTTCTTCAATGGATCGGATTTCTGACTGCAGCCTTTCAATCTCACTCTTCAATCCAGCTTTGTCCCTCTCACTTCTCTCCAAACTAGTTTCAACTCTCTTCACATCATCATCCTTGCGAGTATATTGGCTCTTCCACTGATTGAACTCATTTCGGATTTGTTGTTTCTCATCTTCTATGCGTTGCTTAAGACGTGTTTCAGAGTCTAGAGCAGCCTTTGCACGGTTTAGTTCATCTTCAAGCCTTTGCAGCCTTGCCTTATCTTGCTCAAGAAGTTTTATTTTCATGAGAAGGCTCTCCTTTTCCTGAATAATTTCAGAGTACTTGCTACTGCTCTCATGTATCTTATTATTGGCCTATATCAAAGAAAAAAAGGATGAAGAATGTTGTTTATTGTGACACATGTATCCAACACTCAATAACAACCTTTTTAAAATTTTAATATAAGATGCCATGAACCTATTAAATTACCTACTATATATATGTTTAATCACTAGAGACATCATTTAGCAGTGTCTTAGATTTCTTTGAAGCAGAATGAAACATTGTGTAAAATTATTTTACATATACAATATTTTAAGACATATACCATAAGCATACAACTATATTTGCTGCACTTCCCTAAATAATGACCAACAAATTCTTTAATGTAACATTAGAAAATTAAATTGTATGTTTTAAATGAGAAATTACAAAAACATGAAACAATAGAAATTACACAAAACCATACCAAAAGAGAATTACAAAACAGCCGAGAATAATTTTTAATGAGGAAAAAGTATGATTACGTCAGAAATGAAGACAAATAACATATGATTGAAACATACTTCCCATGGTTAGAATTAAACATAGAATCAGTAAGGAAATCAAGTTAATGAAAAAATACGAGACCTCATTAGAAAGTACACTAACTATAAAATGTTTTAATCATTTACAGAAACTATATAGATTACACTTATAGAAGTGTGCTATATACTGTATAATAAAGAGATCCCTGAAATGAACAGTAAGCAAACAAAAAAAACAACTATGTTATAAAATGTAAATTTCTATGAAATTACAATTTTCCGTTTTCTCCATATTGCATATTTCTTCAATGAATCTCTAATTTAACTACTGACAGCAAAGAAAGCAGGACATGTCGCCAGCAGATGGTTAAGTTTATAAAAATAATCTCCCTTAATAATTTACTCTAATATTTCACTATTTACAGCAATATTTGATCTTCTCTACATATTGTAAATTGTAAATAAAAATTTAACAAAACTTTATGTCGCAAATATACCTGCAACAACTATTTTTTCCAAACTGATCCTCCTTTATGTGTGCGTAATATATTAATATATAATTGTTTTATATAACCTATCCTATTTATTTAGTTATACCTTTTGTAAATGATAGTCGTAATTATATAACGCTAAAATTCTATTTGAACTATTAAAGCAAACAAACAAACAAACAAATAATGCCCCATTCCAAAGTTAAGAATTAAGTATTTTTTAGAAAGCCAAACAATAAAATTAGTTGACCACTTCACAAAAGATACATATTAAGAGGAATTGTATTTGAATACCTCTAATGCTTGCTTTTGGAATTTTTCAATTTCCTGTCTCAAATTTTGCCTTTCTTTCTGTAACTCATTAATCAGGCCCTGCAGCTCCAAGGACCGCTTGTTGCTCGTTTGTAGTTGGTTCTTTAACTCCGTAATTGTTGCAGTTTTTTCACCATCCACTTCATCTTTATTCTTTTTCACTTCCTCATTCTCCAGTCGCACATACCGCAACTCCTCCTCTAACCTCAGGTGTTCTTTGGTAAGGTTTTCTGTGATTGACTGCAACTTTTCTATCTCTATTTTACACTCATTCAGGCTTTTATTCCTCTCCTCAATAGTTTTCTGTAAATGCTCATTTCGCCCATGAGCCTGCCTTAAGTTTTCTTGTTCAACATGCAGCTGTCGACGTAGACTCTCCACCTCAGCTACAAGTTTACTTAACTCATCAATATTTCTCTGCTTATCCCTAAGTTGACTGTCTAAAGACTCCCTCTGCTGCCTCAAATCTTCTTCGGTTTGTTTTTTAACAATAGAAATCTGTTCTATTTGCTGTGTAAGACTGGTGATTTTTTTCAGCTGTTCACTACTGGTTCTTCTCAAGCTTTCTAGCTCATCTCCCAACTTCTTATTGTTTGCATGCTCATCTGTGGCAATCCTTTTTTGCCTGTTAATTTCATCCTCTAATTTTAGCTTGAGCGTCTGCATTTCTTTCAAACTGGCTTGAAGTCTTGTTATCTCACTTTCTTTACTTTGTTTCTCTAGAGACAATTTTTCATAGTCTGTTTTAACTCTGAACAATTCTTGCTCCTGAATCTTTAATTTACTTATAGTCTCTGAGGCACTGGTATTTGCTTTCTGCAGATCAAATTGGGTCCGCTGTAATTTGACATGGTCATCTTCAAGTTTTTTCCTTTGATCGGTTTCAACCTCTAGAAGCTTCTTCACACGCTCAACTTCCTTGTTGCGCTCCTGAATTGTTTTGGCAGCATCATCAAGAGATTTTTTGTATCTCTGCTCCTCTTCTTTTCGAAGGGTAATAATTTGTTTCAGCTCAATTTCCAGCTGCTGTTTTTTCTGGGATATCTCAGAGGAGTAGGATTTTTGCTGATGAGCATCATCCTCTGTTTTCTTGAGGTTGTGTGTCATTTGTGTTATAGAGGTTTTTAGTCTATTTACCTCTGTAAGCAAGTCCCTCTTTTCTCTCATTAAATTGTCAACCTGTGCACTCAAATCATTGATGTTATCGTCTTTTTGTACAGTTACCTCATGGATGGTAGTTTTTGTGATCTTAATTTCTGACTCATACTTGCTCCTTAAAGTTATAAGCTGTTCGTCATAATCGTTTCTTACCTTAACCAGCTCGTTTTCGTATTGTCTCTGACGTGCGGCCTCCTCTTGAAGTTGGTACTTTAACTTTTCAACCTCACTGTTTCGTTCCTTAATTGTCCTGGCAGCTTCTTCTAGGGACATCTTGTATCTAGCACTGTCTTCAGAATGAGTATGAATTAATTTCTGTATCTCAATCTCTAGATGCTGCTTTCTCTGAGAAAGTTCAGAACCAGAGGCTTTTTGCTGAAGAGCATCTTCTTCTGCCCTTCTTCTCTGCTCATTTGATTGTACTATTGTCTCATTTAGCCGAGTAATTTCCTGGGTAAGGTCTCGGTTTTCTCTGGCTAGTTTTTCCATCTGTGCTCGGAGTTCATATGTGTCCTCTTCTTTTTGAACAGTTATTTGCTGAATTGTGGTCTTCGTAATGTTAATTTCTGATTCATATTTGTTCCTCAAACTACTGATTTCGTCACTATACTGCTTCCTTACCTTTGACAGCTCATTTTCATACTCCTGTTTCCGCTGGCCCTCGTCCTGTAGACGAATTCTCAATCTTTCTATCTCATACTCCTTCTCCTTGATTATCTTTTCAGAGTCTATTTTTTGACGGTTGATGCCCTCAAGATCAATCTGCCGCTTTTGTTGCAATTGGTCAAACTCATTCTTGTGTAGGTCACACCTTTCCTCTAATGCTTTTCTCCTCCGCCTCTCATCATCAATCTCATAGGTTAATCGTGTTATCTTTTCATTGAACTCAGAAATCTGGCTGTAGCACTTCTCTAGGTTCTGCTTTGCTGAGCTGCCATCCATTTCGGCTTTCCTTTTCATGTCCTCTAGTAGGAGTAGCCGGGACTTATACTCTGAGCATTCTGTCTGGTATTTCTGCAGATTTTGATCAAGAAACTTATTTTTGTGGGAATTGTCTGAATTTGCATCTCTTGCAAGACGTAGTTCTTCTTCCAGCAATTCAATTCTAGTGTTTTTCATCTGTAAACAAAGAAGAAAATTTCAAAATTGTGATGTTAGTTTCTTTAATTAAAAAGTGTTCATATTTATCCATAACAAGCATAGTATTTAAAATTCCATTGCCAAACGTATGGCTATAATTACTACTACAACTGTAATCACATGTGCAGTATTCTAGTGTCATCATATTTTATACATGGTTATATTTATGATACTAACTACAAGCTAGTTTAAAAAATTCACTTAAAGCACCCAAAAGTATTTCATTATCAGAGGTGGATTTCTCTTTTAATGGAGACTGATATGAGATCCAGTTAAAAAGATAGAACATTTTGGAGCTCTAGGATGTCCAAGATGTTTTAACGTGGCCGGTTTGTTATTGGGGTTTTGGCACAGGCATTTCATCACAAATTTTATGGACTTCTAGGACATCTTTATGGTTAAGCATTAGGTTATCCATCATCTCCAATAATAACAGTCATAATTATCTTATTTGCGGACCAAGAATAAGCTTACTAATCTTATAACTGCCAATAATCTCTAGCTATATGAATTTCCTCTAAAACCATATTGTTAAATTGTGTGGGCCATAACAAGACTGCGGAAACCAATGGTGTAGTGGGTGTGGTAAGAACAAACAGCCTTCCACTAGCCAATGGCAGCTGCTGTCACATTATGCAAATAGTGAGAGCTTGAAGTAAAGCTTTCCTCCCTAGTTATCGCTTGCTATTGGTTCTGGCAACCAGTAAATGATCAGAGACAGAACTAGGCTTTGAACAAATACTGCCGATGATAAGAGTGTACTGCTGCACACTAAACAACCCAAGCTGTCATACTCTGGTTTTTACCTAGAAAAACAAAAACACCTAACATGTGCCTAGTGGTGTTACCATAATAAAGTATAAATTATGACACAAACAGGCAAATGTGGGTCATTTTGATTTAGAATATCAATGTGTGGTTACCTTCAAATCTTCCATGCTCTTTGAGATTTCATGCAGAAGTCTATAGAAATCATTTCCTCTTGTAAGCAGTTCAATATAGCGAGCTTGAATTTCGGCAGACTACAAAAACGAAAATGAATAAATAATTAATGTGACTGAAAATATATTTTAGGTTTTACAAAAACCTGCCCTTCTACAATACAAAAAATATATTCCTGCAGGTCTACCTTCAGCTTATTTCACAGATGTGTTTTACATTTTTCAACATATAGTCTAGCTATGCCATTTTACAACTTTTAGACTCTGTAAATAAAGGGTAACGTGGTCCAATCAAATATAGACTTTCTTAATCATATAGCTCTTAAAAAGCTGCCTATAATTTGTGTGATTACTAGGCAACCTATGCTTCCTAGCTGCTAAATGGCCTTTAATCAACATCTTCTCTCAATTTTACCAGGGATTATAGAGAAAACAAAAACCATAGACTTTTATAAATCACAGTTAATGATAAAGTCTGATGCCAACAATCAACACTGACAGAGATTTGGAAAATTATAATGCATTCAAATGTGACTCCTCACATGGACAAGCTGGCTGATGCTCTCGTGGTAAATACATATACCTTTATCAGATACTAGAGAATGTAGTTATAAAGAATATTACTCTTTTGGGAAATGTATTTTGACGTTAATTATAAAAGGTGAGAGAATACATTAAACCTTGATTTAAAAAAAAAAAAAAAATAATTAGTTACCTCTTGTAGTATGATTCCTGAAGGAGATTGAACCATTGTCCTTTTTATTGGAATATTAAGTAACGTTTCCAGTCCTGAGCTATAAGATGCTAACTGGAGCTCATAATCCTGTAATATAGAAATAAAACATGTATTCATTCATTGCAAAATTAATATTAACTCGTAAATAAGTGATCATAAACAAATTCTCATTTTTCACCTGTAGCATCAATGCATATTCCCAAATCAAATTCACTAAATGTAATAACGGAATCCATCACATTAAAAAAAAAAAAAAATTGGATAAAATGTATTTATAAAATTATTTAACCAGAAAGGCTAAAACATTTGCAAGTCTAAAGGATTTTTTTCAAGACATTAGAATGTCCCACAAAATAATTTCATCGAATTGTAATTGCACAGCTATAGGTACTGTGACTTACCTGGTGATTGCAAGACTACAAGCACTTTGCCTGTTCTCAAGAAATAGAGGAACACTAATTTGCTGGCAATAAAGCCAAACTATTGGCATGGCGGGATAGATGCTCCCTGCTTCAGGAAGCATAATGGTTTTCCGTGTGTGGACAAGCAGATAGGAGATGTGCAACAGTGAACAGCAGGTGGGTGTTACAACTACCAAAACACCAGGACACCAGGAATTGTTTCTGGACTACATTTCCTATGATGGTCAGCTAGCTTTTAGAGTCTATAAGCTAGCTGAGCATCATGGGAAATGTAGTCAAAAAACAATTTATGGTGTCAAGGTAGGACTACAACTTCCATGATGCTTTTCATGCCTTTACAATGACAGCATCCTGGAAACTGTAGTTTTTAAAACATTTGGAAATCTAACTTTTTGGCACCCCTGCCCTAAACAATATAACCACTATAGTCCAGTGTAGTGTTTATGTTGCAAGAGTAGCTGGACTCTTCGGGTTCCTGGGTAACTCGTCTCCAATGTGCTCAGCCTATCAAGGTCATCCAGGTTGGACAAAAATAACACTTTTGATGCAAAAGTATAAATCTATGCAGCAGAGAATTAGGTTGTGTCCAGGTGCTGAGGAAAGCCTTGGTTTTTTGTCAAAAGGTTTCAACGATTTAACAAAAGCGTGAAAGTCATTATTGTTACTGGCAACAAACCACTACACTGAGCTGCAGGGGTTATGTTAATTCTTGTAAGAATCTCAATTATACCACTGAGTATATTTCAATCTTTTTTGCTCTTTAAATCTAACCACTGTGGCAAAAACCTTACGATAGATAGAATATATATATATATATATATATATATATATATATATATATATATATATATATATATATACATACACACACACACACACACACACACACACACACACACACACACACACACACATATATACATATACATAATATATCTTTCCTCACAAGATGTTTAGATTGTATTTTACCTTGATGGATGAAGCACACAGATCTGCAGTTTTCATGACCTCTTCCACTTTGTCTCGTTTACCCTGAATTTCTACATTCAAACTCTGTAAAATAAAAAAAAAATTACAAAATATATCACACACACACAAGCATTTTATCTTGAAATTTCTGAGTTTTCAGCACTGTATCAACCTTTGTGCAACATTGTTAAAGGCCTTACTACCACAGATGCTTTACTGTATGAAACATTCTATTGATGCTTAATAGAAAGTAACTTTTTAAATAAGCTAGCTCAAACCTTATTTGCCACTGCATACAAAATATTTTACTATTACACTATGGAAGTCAGGTTTTCACACATGGATGATGTGCCCGCTCAATAAAAGGGCAACACATCCATTTTTTGTAGGCTTAAGTAGAATTTTTAATAAAAAAAAACATTCTGGGTACGGGCAAATACTAAATCTTCAACAACTGAAAAAGTGTTAAATTGCAGTATTTAAGTTTTTATATACAGTTAAAACAATAAACACTTGAATTTGTTCTGAAAAGAATACACCAAATACAAGGAACCTATTATACAGATAAATAGAATAGACATTTACCTTTTGTTCATTTAAGTATCTGGCAACAGCCGTGGAATCTGTAAGTTTGGCAGATTCCAATGTGTCCTGCTTGTGCTTGGTATCACTGATCCACTTGCTTAATGCCTGGTGCAGGTCTCGGTAATTTCTCAGTTGCTTGCCTTGTTTTTCTAATTCCCATGACCTGTTAATAAATGTTATAATAAAATTTAATAAAATTCTGGCACTTTCAGCATGTTCAAATAATACATCGTTTGTATGGGAGCAATGTCCAGAGCATCACATACATCGGTTTTCAAGAATCATGAATGTTCAACAATTACTTTTACTGGTACGCAATGTTCTACCGAAATTAAACCGTCAAAATGCCATATTATGTACGCCTTGGTGAACAAACATTTTTAAAAATATCAGCCAAAACATTGCATTCTCAACTAGCTCAGCCCTCTCTTGGGCCCTCTAAAATGGTAAATAGGATCACAAGTTTCAGGCCATTCCCTCTCTCTTCTTGTAGGGACCTCTTTTGCCAGGAATTGCCCCTATACACCACACAGAAGAAGGCAAAGGAAACTAATTGTCAGATATGCAAACAGAACATCTGCAAATCTCACGTAAATTCACAGCTTGGGAAAGGATGACTTAGGCTTCAACTAGGTTATAAATCAATCCAACCAGTAATAATGGCATGTAGCTGCTCCAGCTTACCTGTCATCGATCTCCTTTTCAATCCTCTGCCAGCGGTCAGTCAGCTGGTTGACCTTGTCACAGAACTTGGTGATATCCACTTCACAGTAGGGATAGGTTTGAGAGACATGATCATTTATTTTCAGTACATTTTTCATTTCTGTATCCATATTTTTCAGAAGAGATTTCTTCTGATCCAGTTCCATTCTCATTTTCTAGATGTATAATAAGAAACATAAGCAGCACAATGAAAAGGTGTCATCCTACAAAACAAACCTTTTACGGTGTGTACATACATGGCTGCATGAAAATATTGTAAAGCAATCTGGGTAAAAAATCCAAACATAAATAGGGGCTTGGGTTAATTTAAACTATGTGAACTATTTGTGGCAGAACTGCATTCTAAACAGTGTTGCCCCACATGTAGGTTTTCACACACTCTGTAGATCAAACAAGTTCATTTGTGCCATTAACAAATTAAATCTATTTCATAATATATTCAGACAAGTTCCAAAGCCTTACAGTACCACCAATACACCAAGCAGCTTTCTTCTACGTGTGCACGAGAGAGGAGACAAATTCCCCTTTGACCCACTAAGCAAGCAGTCTATATAAAGATTATCACTTTTAAGTAGGATGACTGACGTAGGATGACTATAAAATAGCAGAATGAGCAAGAAACAACGAGTAAACATAAACACAACAATGGCTTGTCCTATAGCTGGTTGCCCACTCTGAGTACTTCTTCTACACTGTATTTGGGATATTGGCTGTTCCTCTGTGTAGACCTTAAAAAAGGAGGCTTTCCTGGTTCTGGGCCACCTGTGTGTCACCAGGCTGATATGCCAAGTGCACTGATTTTATTAGTAATGGCAAAAGTGAACTAAAACACAACGGAGATCATCTCACTGGGTGACTGACAGGGCGAATTCTGAATATTATGTCTTGCGTCTTACTCTTTGCATATTATTTTTTAATAAGGTATTGTCAGTTAATGGGTCTAATGTCTTTATTGTAGTTTATTACTTCAACAATCCACTGAAGATTTTAACCACCCATATTAAAGGGGCAGTCTATGGATCACAACCACTACAGAAATATGTAGGGGTTACGGTGTCAGTTCTCTGATGCCGTTCCATGTTAAGTAGTCAAACCATTTTCAGATGACTTGACAATTACCTTGATCTCCAAGACACCTCCACTCTGGCCTACTTTTCTGAATGCAGAAATCCAAATATCCACTGTAGTGACAACAACTTCACCTATGTTTGGATAGTGTTCATTGGCCAAAAATGTCAATGAATTTTGTCAACATAAGGACAAAAAAACAACAAATATATATATATTTATATTTATTGTGGAAGGTGATTTGAAAAGGAGGCCACACTGGAGATACCAGAGGGATCCAGATATTAGTGTCAATTAAGCAAGTGTTCAAATACAGATGACTACTTACTCTGCATGCCAGGGTACTCCTTGAATCATAACCACTAGAGAATGCTGTAGTGTTAATGTTGCAGAGTTTAATCATTTTAATACATTATATAGATTGTGCTATATTTTCTTTAAAAAAAAAAAAAGTAAATGCAGCAACAAAACTTGTATATAAGTTGTTCCCAAGTACATGGGAAGTTGATCATGTTTGTGTGATGCTCTGCACATTATGTTAAAAGGTGTGAAAGGCTACTTTGGTTTAAATGCTCCTGGGTGTTTCGACATTTCCACTGGTAAGAGGCAAAGACTGATACCAAAAGCAACAGAGCCTTATTTGCAATTATTCACTGGTTTAAAAACGTAAAAAGTTCTTACTTTCAATGCACTTCTATAAGCTTCAACCTTTGCAGGGTCCAGTGAAATGGTTTCTTCCTCTGTCAACCGAGCTTCATAAACCTTAATCAGATCTTCAATCTGAAGGATATTCTGCAGGAGAGCTCTCAAAGCCTGAAGCCTGATATGTAGAAATTAAATATGGAAAGCATTAGCATGGGGCTGCACAGGAGGAAAAACAAAATCAATTTAGAAAAAGTGAGAAATCTAACATTTTTGATTTTGCTGTAAAAACTAACATTTTGTAGTAATCCTTTCAAAAAGCAATGGGCCATGAAAAAAATAGATCTGGTTTCTCCTGTAATTAAATTGACCTGTCATCTAGTGTTTCAGGAAATATAAATGGACAATTTATTCTTTCTTAAGAAAATGGTTTCTCATTTTATGTTATTACAGATATTATGGCATTTATGAAGCCAATTGGTCTTCAAAAAATAGAATCCTCAAATTTATCTATGCTCATATGGTTTTTGTTTTTTTTAATCTCCAGTCACAAAATATTTCTTCATTATTTGCAAACCCAAAATTAAACATGTCAATAATTCCAAGTTTTATGGTAATAGTACAAATGTAATTTCACCCAGACATTTTTTTTTTGACAATTAAAACATTTTTAGCAAAAAGTCACCATAAAGTTTTATATATATATTTTTTTTTATATACCAATTACGGTGCACTTATTTCATACTTTCCATATCCTCCATTTAATTTTTTCTATGGACATTAGGGGCTCAACCCTGTGTGTGGACTATTGTATTTATATTGTGAGATATTTTCTATGATTGGGAAAAGTCCAGCAGCAGGATCTAAACCCTACTAACCATTTGATCTCAGGATTCCTATCTATGCACCAAGAACCTACCGGATACCAACAAAACCACAAAACTTGGTGTTGCGACTTGGTGTTGGGGGAGGGAGAGGGGCAGTGTTTTAGATTGGGGGCAGGGGTGCAGCGTATTGGATTTGGGGGCAGTGTGTTAGATGGGGCAATGTATTAAATTGGGTCTGCATGGGGGCGCGTAATACTCCCCATGGAGATGCTGATTGGTCGCATAGCGTTTTGCCACACATGCACAACAGTCTCCCAATGCGCATTGGATTGGCGGAGATCATCAAGTTTAATGATGTCAGCCAGCGTGAAGAACACACTCATAGGACTTCAAAATCAACACGATAATGTAATTTGTTTTTTGCAACAGCACACATTCACCATTTCAGTCCCATTACCAAACTTTTCTTAATATGTCAAGGTAGTTGGACTGAAACATTAGTGATATGCAAATGCACGTCTCCTTAAAATAAATTCGCTCTTTTGCTTACTTTGAAATCCTATGCGCGTGAGAACGTCCAGTGACTTTTTTTATACTGTACTTTTCAAAATAAACTTGTCTTTCTATGAAAACTGAAGTTTTGGTTTTTTTGCAGCCCACATAAACGTAAACCTTGCTTATTTGGCCTGTAGCCTTTGAGTTTGACAAGCTTGCTGTATTAGATTTAGTCATTTTATGGAAGGATTGTTGAATCAGCAGGTTCAAAGCAATTTTACAAATGGAGAAACATCATTCTAGAACAGAGATTTCATTATACCTATCTAAGTGCCCCACAGAAAACCCATTGATGCTCTCCATTTTCTTTAAGAGCACATTGAGCTCCGACTGCAAGTATGAAGCTTTGTCTGAACCTTTTAAGTTCATCATGGTCTCTCTTACGGTGTTGAAGTTTGAAGAGAGTCCTTGGCCCTCTCCCCGCAAAGTCTATAAAAAGCAAAGAACAAGACGATAAACAAATGCAATGTGTATGCTCAATATTTATACTACATGTCACAAGCACAATTACTTACAGTCAGTGGTTAAACATAATGTAGTTTTTGTTATACTTTGTTATAGAGATGGCTATCAAAGTACCGTGGCACCATTCTATACTTTGTCTTTTTAATATTTCTCTTTTTACATTTTAGTAAAGTATCTATTAAATTAATAGATCTTTCACAGGGTGATGGGACTATCATAGTGGATTGTAAGCAGGAGGTACCAATTATAATGGCCAGAAATGTTACTCATTTGATTTCATCACATGTATGTTCTTTCCTAACGATATTGACTGAAGATGGGAGACCCTGTTTATAACCACTTATGATCTTGAGAAAAAAATAAAATAATCCATAGTAATAAAGCATTCTTGATTAAAGCGTTTTAATGTTCAGCCATTTAAAGCAATAGTTTAACTTTAAAGACCTTGTAAAAACATAGGTTTTCAGATTATTCTGGACATACCTCAAAGTCATTTATTCTGTGTCCTAAATCTCTGTAGGTTTCCTGGTCAACATTGTAGATGTTTCTTTGCAAAAATCGAGTCTCATGGCTTTCAAGTCTTCTCCGGATCTTCTGTAGCTCAAGTAGCAGCCAATTCTCCTGCTTTTCCCTATCCCGGTCAATGTCTTTACTACTTCCATCCACCACTACAGTGGAGCTACTGCTCACTTCTCTGCGCTCACCTTGTAGAAATGAAGAAGAAAAATTGAATAATAAAAAAAAAAAAATTCCCATGTTTTTCAGTAGAAATCTGTATTCCTAACAATATAGTGCATGATTTGCAAAGTAGTTTTAGGTAGGGAAGCAATGAAAACTGACACGCATGTGCAGAGAGTGCTGCTGATGCATCCAAATGCTTCTCACAGGAAAGAATTGAATTCAACACTTTCCAAAGAGTCTCTAGTGGCTATCTGGACTACAGCAGCTAGAGGTGTGCTTAACTGTATAATGTAAAGATTTCGGTTTCTATAGAGCAGTAATGTTTTAAACTGCAAGGTAAGAAGCACTGAGCCACTGCACTGACATCAGTCTGTACAGTTCGTGCAGTTTTGGAATCTGTGGGTAACAATAGCGGTGTTACTTTATAAAAAGGTTAGTCTGGCCCTCATGCGAATAAAATGCATGCAAAATGACCATTAGAAAAGGCAACTTAAAACAAATGTTTGCATATATTTCTTTATCCATTGCTCAGTCCTGTAAAAAAGATATAAGCAGAAAATTGGATAACAAATGAATACAGTTTGCCTGCTCTAAAATAAGAGGAAATGGGATAACCACTAGGACACCCTTCTGATATTATGATTAAATTAGATTTTTAAGGTCCCACAACTATCAAATTCTACTACACTTTTGCCTTTATTGGTATGGCATTCTAAAATGTGATTTTACCACATGACAGGAGGCTTCATATTTGCATATCTTTCTTTACTCAAAACTCCAGCAGCATAGTAACATAAACAACCAATCAGAAAAAAGATATAATGCCCATAAAAGGCCCTGTCTATGACATCACTTCCTCTTTCTTTGCTGCTCCAGCCAACATCAGGTCAGAGTATTTTGCCTCCCTGGCAATTGCTTACATATATTGTTTGTTTCTCTGTATTTTGGATGGTATTGTTCTATTTTTACCTAAGTTAATTTATTTACCTAAGTTAATTTATTTATTTAGCTAATTTATTTATTTCATTTACTTATTTCATTTAATTAATTTATTTATTTAGTTTTTACTTTCGCTGTTCCCTTCTCCCTGTCCCTGCAGTTTTCTTTTGGGCCCCTATTGCTTTTCACTACCGGTACCCGCGAGCAACGGCTGTCAGTGCCGCGCGCCGCGGGCCGGCTAACGTTTTTCCTTTTGTGGGGCCGGCAAGGGGACGGGTGGAGGGGGACTGGGAACTGCGTTCCCTCGTCATTCCGGCGCCGAGCGGTCGATCGCGGCGCTACTTCACACGCGGGCAGCGGCCATCTTGGATCTCGCGGCTCGCGAGATACCGGACGGCCGCCTTCCCCGCTTGCCCGGCGGATCGGTAACTCACCCGACCGCTGGGCTCCACATCTTTATACCCTCCCTAGTATGTACTAAGGGAGGGTATTAGGTTACAGTGGATTTTTGCCTTTCTATATATATATTTGCCCAGTGCCTGCCTGCTGTGCTGCCTATCTATTATAAATGCATGCATTAAAGAGACAAACATTCCCCCCTTTTTTTGCCAGCTTCAGACCTTTATGTCTCTAGGCCCTGCTTAGGGTCATATCAGCTACTATACCCCAATTAGGGTTATACTATACATGGTTATAATCTCCTCAGGATCAGACGGCATACTGGCAAAAATTATATACAATTATTATTTTTTATTCTCATGAGCAGGCACACAATCTATGTATTATTGTGAAGCCATACAATATCACAGTCGTTATACAAAACATATACTGTACCTATATCAAGATCAACTATATCACTGTACTCTACGAAGGGCATATTATGTTACTGTACCCTACAAAGGGCATATTATATTATATTATTGTACCCTACAGAGGGTCATATTATATTACTGTACCTGACGGTGCAAATTTATGTGGGTGTCCTCTGGGTATTTTTTCATGGCACACCACCTGGGGTGACCCCCCAGATATGCATGCAAGGTCACTGACAGACCATTACCTTTGATGTGGGTGTCCTCTGGGTTACCATGGCACACCACCTGGGGTGACCCCCCAGATATGCATGCAAGGTCACTGACAGACCATTACCTTTGATGTGGGTGTCCTCTGGGTTACCATGGCACACCACCTGGGGTGACCCCCCAGATATGCATGCAAGGTCACTGACAGACCATTACCTTTGATGTGGGTGTCCTCTGGGTTACCATGGCACACCACCCGGGGTGAACCCCGATCATATGCATGGAGGCCTACGCCTCAACTTTACCACTGATTACTACAGACATATATGGATGTTTAACCCTTAACTATGGATGTTTAACTTTGGAATAAAAGGGAATCATGACATGTCGCACATCTCATGTGTCTTTAAGGGGTTAAACACTGCCTGTCAGTTTTACATTAAAGCAACAGTACCATGCCGGATGCGATTTGATGGCAGGATCACTAAGAAAATTGAGTGTATTGCGGTGTAACCTTCACAGGGATACATATATGTATATTTTCTGTGCCTAGTGTACATATGGAACGTGGGTGTCCTCTGGGTAATTTTTCATGACACACCACCTGGGATGACTCCCAGATATGCATGCAATGCTTGTAAGGTGCCAATAAGTATAATATGGGTGTCCTCTGGGTTACCATGGCACACCACCTGGGATGAACCCAGCCTAATAGACATGGGTCCTGCGGCTGCAGACCTTATGGAGACAGGCCCCATGCACCTATATAGTAAGCCTGTGTAGTTAAAACCCTGCATACAGCTCTGGCGTACATTTGTGGTGAACCCGGCTAGCCAGACCGACACCACTACCAGGCAGTCGCGCCTGCACCACGGCTCTCAGTAGCCAGATTAAACTAATAGAGGTGACCCCTCTTTTTACCTGGGTGATCCCCAGTTCTACCAGGAGTCTAACACCCCTACGTGCTGACCCCCACACTATCTCCCAACAGGACGGGAACGAGTCATGGTGGACACTCTCAACGTTCCCAAGATTTCGAGACAATGATAAACGCCACAGTAACGGCCTCAGTGGAGAAGGTTCTGTTATGAACTCTACCCCACACCGCTTGATGGAGACCTCAGGCCCACAAGCCTTCAAGTCAAAACGGCAAGGGAAGGGCTCCAGCCCCCCTGCCACTAAGGTCAAGGGCAAGATGCCCATCGAACAGACCAAATAGGCGGAACACCGGGAATCCAAACCCCGTCCGCCACAATCTTCCGACAAAAAAGACTATTACCCACCACGTACTTTGGACATGGTAGATGAGCGACACGAAGACAGCTCACCGTCTGAGGAAATGGAACGGCAAGACCTTCCCCACACTTCCTCGAAGTAAGTTAGGGAAACCTTACTCCGTGACGGCGGCTGAGGCAGAGATAACTGTAGCGGCACTAAACCAGAGTAGCCGAAGACGGAACGTTCCTGGACGAACACTATTGGCTGCACAACCCTCGGGGGATGGAAGGATGCGCACACCTCAAGACCGAGTTGCCCCAGGGTACACAACTCAACCCTACCACCTCCAAAGAATGGTCTCAATGCTCGATATGCCTCCTGGGCAACGTAAATGACGCACTATGCGCCGACAGACGCAAATCTGTACTGGGCCGCATCGACAACACACTATTGGACCTAGGAACGACAAGTATTCGGCCCAAAAGCACAAGGCCTACTATTCGACGTAGTGTTCATTGCAGTACTCAAAAAACACGTGAATTTATTCACCACACTAAACCCAGACCTCGCTAAAACAAGTCTGAACCCATCCGCTTCATCTACTAGTGTGTCAACCTACATAACTAACTGTTTCCAATATTATGACCGGCAACCTGTCTCTGTTTTACAGAATTGGGAGACGACTACCAAAGTCACCTGGGTTCTCCAGACAGTACAAGGTTATGTCATAGAGTTTTATCACAGCCGTACAGGTCGCCCCTTCACCTCCATTACGCACGCTGGCGGAACAGGAACGCCTCGTGGACAAGAAAATCTGCACCCTCTTCAGGAGGTGCGCAATTCAACACGCAACGGAGGGGAAGGCTTCCCCAACAAATTTTTCCTGGTCAAGAAGAAGCCAGGAGACTACATCAATGGAACTCCTACATGGTATAAAAATGCTGCAAGATGGAGGAAATTCGTCTTCTACAAGACCTCCTAGGCGATAACGACTGGTTTACACATCTAGACCTCAAGGACGCACGCTTGTCGGTACCCGTTGCCCTGGACTGCCGAAGTTTTCCTCCGATCCCGATGGTGAGGACAAACACGGCAGTTTACGACTCCGTGGTGCTCGCGAACCTACTGTAACCAGTGAGGGCACACATCCGCAAATTTGGGCGTGCGATGCCTCGTATACCTGGAAGACTTGCTGATTCTTTACGAATCCAGACTACATTTGCAGACAGATTTGTCGTTCACTTTCGGGACTCCAGGGATTTTTTGTTGTACACAGACAAAGATCGCTTCTCCATCTGAATCGGGCCAGTTCCTCAGTTTCGACATCGGCTTGGAGAACTATGTTCCGCGTCAGTCTACGGCAAAGAGCGCCTCTATAAGGATAACTGTCGGATTGTGGGATTCCTCTCCTCCTCTCCTCCTCCATACAAGCGTTATTCCCTGGCCCACTACGACTGATGGTGAGATACGTACGCACCGCTCACTCATATGACCACTGGATCCCACTGTCGGCGGAAGTGAGGATGGAATTTCGATGGTGATTACTTCACATACAAACTTGGATTGGCAAAACGATCTTTGACTCTTCCTTCGGATACGGGGCGATGGATGAACCCCTGCAAACGCGACCCAGCCGTTTCTCCACAATAGCAAAGGTGCTTCAATACACACACACACTCACAAGATATCGCTCCTGCTCATGACACCCCTCGGGCAGGGCCAACCGTGATTTCCCGGATCGCCTGGAGATGTCTCGCGAAGACCCTCTACTACTCCCTACCTTCCCTCTACTTCTGACGGGACCTCGAGGGGGAGCCCACTCCCTTGTCATGGAAGGACAACTGACACTAGTTGCCTGGACGGCTTCAGGGGCTCCTGGTCAGATCACGACCTATTGCATCAACTAAGACCTCCTATGGGACTCATAGGCTCCCGGCACCAGGAAAGGCTATATTTCTGCCTGGTCGGCCTGGAGTGATTGGTGTGTGGAAAGGGATTCCGATCCCTTTACCGCACCTGTCCCACTGATCCCCAACTATCTGTCACACCTGGTCTCGTTGGGTCGGTCATATCGATCCCTCAACATGATCAGATCCGCCATGTGGGCGGCGCACGTTCCGGTACAGGGCAGACCAGTAGGTCAAGATACACTGGTTTGTCGACTACTGCGGGGTGCCGAATTGTCGAGATCCCGGCACCCAAATATTCACGCCTCTGGCAGGTGGATGTGGTGCCGAGATTCCTTAGGGAATGGCCGGACAATCCTTGTTGGTCACTGAAGCAACTTTCAGCCAAACTAGCCTTCTTATTATGCCTCGTCTCATTTAGACGGTGGCGGACGTTAGGGCTTGCGATATGGATGGTTTCTCTCTCACACCAGACGGGGTTACCTTTACCATGTCGAGACAAACTAAGTCTGATTCGTCTTCAGTGTCATACCCATGCTTTGTGTCAGACGCCACACTATGCGTGGTCAGAACGCTAATGGGGTACACCAATATCTCTACCCCCTTCGAACTCACTCGACGGATCACCTTCTGACTTCTTACGTAAACCCTCATGGACCGCTGTCTACCGCAACACTGGCCAGATGGGTCCGCGGGGTTTTGTCTTTAGCGTCGAACCTTGTTTCGGAGCCCACTCGGTCAGGGGAGCAGCGGCCTCACAAACCTTTTCGGCCGACGCTTCCCTAGCCGACATTATACGCTGCGCGGACTGAGCGCGAGAGAGTACGTTTAGAACGTTCTATTTTCGGCAAACATCTCATGCTTCCTTCACATTGGTCAATTCAAAGCTTTAAAAATGCAAATATGAAGCCTCCTGTCATGTGGTAAAATTGAAGATTATACTAGCTTTAGAGTACTAATAATCTTAATTTTAGTAATGACAGGAGGCGAATATTTCCCACCCTGTAGAATCCCTCCCATGTTCCTCGTATTGAACAGAATATGTCCTTTATGTTCAGGAAGGTAAGTACGTATGGTTTGTATGTTTGCTACTTAGACCTGTATCTTGTGGGTCTTGTATTGGCTGAATATTAGACGTGAACCTTGCATTATGTTGTGTTTATAGATTCTTAAATATCATTGCGTTAGAATAAATATATATTGATATGTTTCACACTCTAATGTTCGCTGGTATGTCAGATGCTTAATGCTTATTGTATGCGGACAAGTTATCACGCCAGATACCTTTCACCTTTTTCTTTTTCTTGCAGCGTGAACGTCTTCTCATCGTGACAAAGATTCACCTTCTATACCTCTGCATCGCGGAACTAGTGGAGTTGGATATTCTAATATGTTGTTGAACTGTTGACGTAATATGATTATGTCTCCTATTGCTATTTATTGTTTCGCTTCAAAGAAAGAGGAAGTGATGTCATAGACAGGGCCTTTTATGGGCATTATATCTTTTTTCTGATTGGTTGTTTATGTTACTATGCTGCTGGAGTTTTGAGTAAAGAAAGATATGCAAATATTCGCCTCCTGTCATTACTAAAATTAAGATTATTAGTACACTAAAGCTAGTATAATCTTCAATTGTATTTCATTTCAGATTAAGTTAGATTGTTATAACAGGTGTCCTTGAAAGACAATTACTCATGCTGAGAAATGTATATTTAATATTGGCAGTGTGAACTGACCTGTGACTACTGGTGCTTGTCTCTGTACAAGAGTATGTTCTGTCACTTTAGTGTGAACGCTTGGGAGCTGGACTACCAATGTTTGGTAATGCTTCTGCGCCTCAGTGAATTGAGATTGCATTTTCCGCTTTTCTTCATCTCCAAACATGTTTGAACCTTGACTGTTTCTCAAAAACTCTTGATAATGCAATTCCAAATCTGTAACAACCCTTTGGTAGTCTTCTTGACGCATGGTTTTGAGCTACAATAATGAATATGAATTCAGTATGATTAAATATTCAGTTAAAACATCAAAAGCACGATAACAATAACTCTACTAAACAAGTAGAACAAAATGGTTTGTCAGTGGTAACCAAATTTCCATACCTTAGCCAAGGTCATAGCTCTGATCTTCTCAATGTCGATCATGCAATAGTGCCACGACACCAAGCTTTTCATATTGATGTAAAGCTGGTTCCATAGGGTCAATATAGCCTCATAGAACTGCTCAATCCTGAAAACACAGTAAATACAACTGCTAATTCACTGATCTAACAGATGACACAAGGTTAAAATTTCAGATGAGAAGACACAGATCAAAAGAAGAGTTCCAAAATCAAAGCCCGAATGTAAACTGTCCTGAAAAATCTCTTATTCCGTTCTCCCCTCTGCCAGACTTACAAATGACTACATCTATCATGTTCTCTTTTACGAGAGTGTCAGACATTACTGAACCTATCAAGTGAAATTGGGCCATCTAGCTAGCACTTACATTGATTGTGAGAAAGGAAAAAAAAAAAAAAAAAGTTTGCACTCCAAACCAAGCAGCATATTGAACATGTTGGCAGCATTGTAGCCTGATGTTGTTAGAAATGGGTCATACTCATAGGTGTGGACAGCACATTTAATTAGCTTGTGCCCATAATTATAATATATATAAATAAATAAAACCAGGGGGCTGCACTCACCTGAACATTCCAAAGATGGGGTACATTGACGTTGTGGCAGGCTTATGCAATGTATGATCATATAATGTAACTAAACCCCCATTATTTTTGCCTAGATTAGGTGTTTAAAAAAAAAAAAAAAACGAATACAAATCTGTCAACATTTAAATTGCTGTAGTGGATAAGAGTGTGCTGGATTTTGTGTATTAATAAATATATATATATATATATATATATATTTTTATTTTTTTTTACACGTAAAGCAACAACCCTACCTCAACAACAACTTCAAGGAACACTATAGTATCAGGAATATTTCATGTACTCCTGACACTATAGTCCTGATGTAGCATTTTGGGTGACCGACCCTGCTCTGAATAGTTATTTTTACTCACCTTTTCTCCAAAGCCAGTTGGCCCTGCCAGGCTCTGCCTCCATAGCGGATATCAATCTTTAGGATTTCAGCTAATACAATGCTTTCCTACGGGAGGCTACTGCCCATTTGTAGTGCCAATCAACAGTTTCTCCATGCAGAGCATTGTCTGCACAGCACTGGACTATGAAGGACTTCTAAAGGCCCTCTTAGTGACTACCATTAGAGGTGTTACTAGGCATCAATGTAAAAATCTAAAGTCACTAGAACCACTACATTAAGATGGTGACTATAGTGTCCCTTTAAGTACATTTAAGTTATCAAGGCAGGAGTGTCCAGACACAGTTGTACTTTCAGGGGTTAAACTGTTTTGTAACCTGAAGTTGGGACTCCAGTGCCCAACACCAATGCCCATGGCTTCCTCCCCTCTGCTGCCGCAGTATGACGAACATCAGGTGAGGCATCATAACTCACTACATCCTGCTGTAATGGTTTGTGTGTCAGGAATCCCCTGGTCCTATCACACAGAAAGTAATCAAATGTTTTTTGGAGAATATTACCATGTTCCCATTTATATTCACAATAGGCATGGATGACTAATAGGTTAAAAAGAACAGATGGTACTTTGCTATGCTGTACCATGAGAACTCTGGAATGTGGTAATTGAGGGTCTTGTCCTTATATGGCCAGAGTTCTATTCAAAAGGTCTGACGTCATTATGGCCAATGTATTTAGAATAGTGAACAAAGATCCACAAGGCTTACTGCCTGTTGGTTGCCTATTGCTTGCTGCTGTTCTGTTGTCCGGCTGTTCTCTAACTATGTAGACTCTAACTCTCCCTTCAGGAGTCCAGCAATTACCATCAACTGTTGAACACCCATTATCCTGTAACATCCTTTGTTGTTTTATTATGGATCAGTAACTGCAGGAATAAACCTGAAGAAACCGTAAGTCAGAATGCGTATTCATAATTTTGGTTAACCAATAAACCAAGAAGATTTATATACAAGACGTATTTCAATCATCCTTGGAAAACACAAATGGATTGTATTACAGTTGTGAAATGGTTTGACACTTACCCAAGATTCTCTCTGGTCCAAGAATCCGCTTCAGATATCACTAAAGTATAAGTTCCCTTTCACATTAGATATATCAATCATAACAATATTTGGACGGAACTCATCACCGGAGAGAATCAAGCTGGCTCTATTAGCCAATAATTCCATTCAAGCACAGTTGGGGACTGATTCTCCAATGTAGCAACTTTTGTCACACACTGTACACTGGATCATGTACACCACATTCACAGATGTGCATGAATACGATCCCTTAATGTTGTATGATTTGTTAGTATGTCTGGCTGTGTTATTGCCACAGTTTGCAGAGTGATTTGTTGCATCATGCTCTTCTGTATGAGCTCCTGTTCTGTGGTCAATTTGCTGCAAACCAATCTCTGTCTCAGGTTAGGTGGTGATTTGTATGCTAGTACGGGGGGCTCAGGAAATAATTCTTTGAGTGTGGGGTCCTCTGAAATTAACCAATTAGTGAACAGACTGCTTTTAAATTTTCTTACTGTTTGGGACCAGGGCTGTTTTTACATTTCTGTGTTGTTTGTGTTTAGCTGTAATTTTCCTCTTACTCATTTACTGTACCCACACATTATATACCTTTTTTCTCGCCATTAAATGGTCTTTCTAAAGATATCATTATTTTCATCATATCATCTAATTTACTATGAAAAAAATTATAAAATATGATGAAAAATTTAAAGAACAAAAAACAAACAAAAAAAAACACACCTTTTGTAACTTTAACCCCCGAAATTTGTTACGCATCTACAACCGCCAAAAAATACCCATGCTAGTAATAGTTTCTAAATTCTGTCCCGAGTTTAGAAATACCCAATGTTACATAGCTGGAAAGAGACTTGCGTCCATCAAGTTCAGCCTTCCTCACATTTCTTTTTTTGCTGTTGATCCAAAAGAAGGCAAAAAAAAAACAGTTTGAAGCACAATTTTGCAACAAGCTAGGAAAAAAAATTCCTTCTTGACCCCAGAATGGCAGTCAGATTTTTTTTCTTGGATCAAGCAGTTATTACCCTACATTGAAAGATTATATCCTTGAATATTCTGTTTTTGCAAGTATGCATCTAGTAGCTGTTTGAACATCTGTATGGACTCTGATAAAAACACTTCTTCAGGCTGAGAATTCCACATCCTTATTGTTCTTACAGTGAAAAAAACCTTTCCTTTGCCTTAGACGAAATCTTCTTTCTTCCAGTCTAAACGCATGACCTTGAGTCCTATGTAAAGTCCGGTTTGTGAATAGATTTCCACACAATGGTTTGTATCGGCCCCGAATATATTTGTAATCATCTTAACATTTTTTTTTTGGAAAGTTATAGGGCTTTAAGTACAAGTATGACATTGCGGTTTCAAATATATATATATTTAAATGTATCAGTAGTCACATTGTAACACTGATCTGTCATAAATCTCTTAAACCTCAAATGTACATTTTTTATTTTTTTTTAAAGTAGACAACCCAGGGTATTCAATATGGGGTATGTCCAGTAATTTTTAGTAGTCACAAACACTTTCCAAAGTTAGCATTTATATTTGTTTGTGTTAAAAATGCAAAAAACAATTATAAACGCTAATTTTGGCCAGTGTTTGTGACTAAGTGGCTACTAAAAAATACTGAACATACCCCATTTCCAATACCTTGGGTTGTCTTCTTTTGCAAATGGTATGCCATCATGGGGTAATTCTCATTCCTGAGCTACCATACGCTCTCAAAGACAGCATAACCAATCTGGCAAATTACAAGGTGAAAAATGGAAAATCAAGCCTTATATTCGACCCAGTAACTTTCAAAAAAACTATAAAACTTGTACATGGGGGGGTAGTGTTATATTCGGGAGACTTTGCTGAACACAAATATTAGTGTTTCAAAACCGGAATACGTATCACAACATGGATATCATCAGTGAAAGTGCAGTTTGTGTGTGAAAAATGCAAAAAACTTCACTTTCACTGACAATATCATTGCTGTGATATGTTTTACTGCCAAACTGGCAAATTTCAATGTGAAAAAAATGAAATGCGAGCCTTATATTTGACTCTCTAACTTTCAAAAACACCATAAAACCTGTACATGGGGGGTACTGTTATACTTGGAAGACTTCACTGAACACAAACATTAGTGTTTCAAAACCATAAAACCTATTACAACAATATCATCAGTAAAAGCACAGTTCATGTGTGAAAAAAATGCAACCAAAAACTTAACTTTTACTAAAAATATCGTCGTAGTACAATTTACCATTTTGAAACACTAATACTTGTGTTCAGTGAAGTCTCCCAAGTAAAACAGTACCCCCCCCCCATGTATTTTATGGTGTCTTGGAAAGTTACAGAGTTAAATATAGTGCTCACAAATTAAATTCTCTGCACTTTCTGCCTGGGTTGTCAGGCATGTCAATCAAATTTTAATTGATAAAAATCACATAATTATGCTAAAAGATTACTTAAATATACACGTAGAAATTTAATATATATATTTAAATTCTACGTGTATACTTATGTAATTATATATATTTATCTACATACATATATTTGCGGTTATTTGTATATTATATATAGATATCTATCTATATTATATCCATCTATATCTATATATAGAATGTCATTCTAAGTGTATTTTGTTACCACTATATTAACAAAATACAGTAAGAAATTACATATGTATATACAATTTATTTTAATGTAAGAATTTTTATTTATTTCTGAATTATTGTAGTTATACATATATATATATTATATAATATATATATCATATATGTAACTTCATTCTAAGTGTATTTTAATACCAATATATGTACTTATATTAATTTTAAAATAAACTACATATGGAGAGGGAGAGAGGGATAGACATATATATACATACACGAGAGATATATATAGATAGATAAATAGATATATAGGTTCTTGTTGAAGTGCACTCACAGGACTCTTGAAAAAAGTCCAGCAAGGACTGAAACGTCGACACTTCTTTGTATTACTTGATGCTTGAATAAACAGCACGATTAGAAATATTATTAAATCCTGTGAGTGCACTTCAACAAGAACCTATATATACTTATGGTTGGAGTTTGCACCGAGGCATTAACAAGACCGGGAGCAGTGAGTGCAGGACATGTGGAAAGAGAGATTATATTATATTATATTATATATATATATATATATACACACATATATATATATATACACACACACACATATATACACACATACATATACACACACACACACTTTATTTTACATGTTTAATAAAAAATTTTATATACTTCCCGCCAGCAGGGGTACTGTTTGACAGGAAAGTACCGCAGGCCTCCTGGGGGCTTAAGCCGTTACGGTGTTCTATGTCACCACAACAGCTTTAAAGCCCATTAGAATGGGGATGGCATAGAATGCCGTAACGGTGTTAAGGGGGTTAACTAGCTTATTTACTCTCCTGTGTTTATTGACTTTCTGGCTATTCTCTGCACCTTTCACTTTCAGGCACATCTTCTGCTTTATTTGACACAAGGGTTTAAGGGACTCTCCAGTGCCAGGAGAACATATCCGTTTTCCTGGCACTGCAGATCCCTGCAGTGCCTCTCTCCCTCCCAGCCCCCATACCATGTTGCTGAAGGGGCTAAAACCCCTTCAGTGACTTACCTGAATCCAGCGGCGATGTCCCACGGCGCTGGATCAGGCTCTGCCCGTGCTCCTACCCCGCCAACGTCAGCCGGCAGGGGAGACCTAACGCGCATGAGTGGCAATGACCACGCGCATTAGAGATCCCCGTAGGAAAGCATTATTCAGTGCTTTCCAATAGTGCTTTCAGTGACGCTGGAGGTACTCATGCATAGCGGGAGGACGTCCAGCGTAGTTTATAACCCTTTTCGTGTTCTGATATACAGCCACTAGAGGAGGACTTTATAAAAACTGCAATAATTACACTTAAGGGTGGTGGAAGTTGGCACCCAGACCACTCCAATGGGCAGAAGTGGTCTGGGTGCCTGAAGTGTCCCTTTAATTTCAGAGCAATTGACTAAAGTGCTTTCATTTTTGGCTACTCTGGCCTTAAATTTGAAATTCACTCTGAATTCTCACTTTAGTAAATAACCCTGTAAGTCTTATGTACAAGGTACAGTACACATGTGTTAAATGACAAACAACAGAGCTGGAAACTTACTTGGTGGATAGATCCACTGCTCCAGGATTTGGGGGTGGAACAATCAAACTGACAGAAGGTACCACCATGTCAAGACCCCCAGGGCCAGTCACATTCCATTTGCTGCGTTGTGAGTTGTTCTTCAGGAGACATTCATCTCCCTTGTGTATCACTTTCTACAATACATCACAACCAGATAACATTATTCCTGTACAGTAGCTACTTGCACCTTAATTTCAGAAAATAAAACACTTATAAAAAGATTTTGCATGCTATGGATTCTATTTGTAAATGAATGCATGCCTTTTTACCAATTAACATTATATTGATAGCTGAACTAAAGTTACAGATTTTGATCAAATTCTGCAAATTCAGATTCTAGTATCTTTTTCTTTATTCCATTTTGTGTACATTTTTAAGGCTTTCAAAAAAATCAGCAACCATTCTAACTCATATGGTCTCTTTACCATGATCGTGAATGCGTCTTATCTAGGTTACTTCTATCTGCTCCGTTTACTTCTGCTCTATAGCACACACACAGGCTGAACCACTTAAACACATTCTCTAATCTTGAATTAGTTCAGTGTATTATTCCTGATAACATAAAAGTGTCCACATATTGGTTTTATTTAAAGCTATATTCTCCTTAAGTCAACATTTCTTCACTGGAATGCAGTGCCCCCCTCATTCTCCCACATTCCCTTTCTTTAAAAGTTCAGATTACATTTTTAATCCTCTCACTCTTTTACCATGCAGTTCCTAGATTAGAGCAAAGAAAACCTCACAGTAATTACCTGGTCTTGTTTGTAGTCACAAAGAGCTTTGAGGACAATGGCCTTATTACTCTTGTAATCTGGGTTGCGTGGTTTAAGTTGAACAATCTTCTTGGATTTATTTACCAGATTTTGCACCTGTCTTTTATATTCATTAATTTTCTCTCGTTCTCTCTGAAAAAAAAAATAAAAAGTACAAACATTAATTGGAAATAAGTCAGCTTTTTAAAAGTATATAAAAAGAGGAGGGAAATAAATAAATCACCAAATATTGTTGCTACAGTACCATTAGCCATTGTTGTAAATCAATTAAAGAAATTTAGAAAAAGTCACTTATTGCAGTAACTAAGATGATATAATAAAAATGCATTAACATAGCAAATATACAATTTATTTTTTGCAAGTGATATTTTTTTAATTTTATTATTTTTTTATTATTATTATTTTTTTAGTGAAATCCAAATTATTTTACCTCTAGGTCTTTTATCATTTCCAGGACACGTTGCAGTGACATAGATTTGTCACAAGGATACTTCTTTCTTATGGTGTCTTGGAGGTTCGTCAGATAAGTTTCTGTCCCTTGTGCCTCTTCAAAAAACTGGGGTGGTGATGGGTAAATAATCCAAGTATTAATTTATGCCATTACATGATTCACAGAAATAGATTACACAGTAGTTTGGAAGAAAAAAATATTTGGTGTTTGTTAGGTCAGTAGATTTAAGCAATTAACCAACTACTCATAGTCTGCACTTAACACTAGTTAACACTTAACACATTGCTACATATCCTAGATTTATTACAGAGCAATATTAATAATATATAGAAAAGCTCAAAATGCTACCTTGCACCTACTCAATATTTATGCAAAAGGCTATTAAACCCAACTACAAAAGGCTTTAAAAAGCTGATTCTGCAAGTCCATGACTCCCCGAAAACGTTTCATAAAACTTGGGACACCTAGCTCAATGGAGACCCCTCACTCCCTTGGTAAACTTCTGATTAACTCCGATAATATTCTCTCTTACAAATAAATACTCTACAACACTCAAAAGGTATCACGTGCCGCCCCCCCCACCCAACCCTGAACTTCCGACTTCCACTCCAGGTTTGGGGCCTTGGCTACGAACGCTTGGTCCCACTGTCTTAATTTTGGCTGCTCAAGGGTCAGCATTTACCTCTCCTCCACTCAGTCTTTTCCTCTCTTTCCCACATATAACATTACACTGTCAAGAACTAACCAGCTCTACATAACCATAACATTTTTACGGGGTACAGTCTAAACACCACTTACTCCTACTACCGCTAGACCCTGTAGCAATATTTGAAGCCTTCCCCCCGATAACAATACCCCACAAGCCTGACGGCCCATGTGCAGAGGCCAGATTGTCAATATCCCTAGAGGGGCCGTGGTCAGGGCCAGTCTTCTAGTCCCTAAAGGAGCCCTTGCTAATGGATGGAAACATTCCTCTTCCAGAGGAACCTGACTGACCCTCAACTCACGCATTCAGTACAACCGTCAAATTGTTTCTCATTAAGTTTGTATTATAGCAGTCGTTGGTTCTGCATTGTAGCGCAATTCGGAACCCTGTCTTGGCATTATTGCATTGTTCTAATTACAAAGAGAGTATACAAATAAAGAATCTTAAAAAAATAAAAAATAAATTCAAATACTACAGGAATATAGTACAAGCAGAAGAACTTACCTGAAAATATGCAGCATTTTCTTTCAGGTGAACATCAATGCACTTGGTAATCTGTAGGATCCAACTCCACTGAGTCTGTAGCGTATCCATGTATGCCTGAAAGGGACAGAGAACCAACAGTTTTAAGTCTCATGGAACATCATTGCTATAGAAAGTCTGTTATATTAATAAAACAAATAAATATCAAATAAAATATTGTTTGGTTAGGAGCTTGTAAAAAGTTTGTATGACATAGGTTATACTAGTATTCCCTATTTACCTCATATATAGAGATAAAATATAGAAAGACTTTGCTATTCAATAAGCATTTAAGCAAATACTCTATATTGGTATTACTTGAGAAGATCACAACGAAAGTAGAAGGTCTTTTCCTGTCACTGAATGTCACATGCGTCCTCCAAGCCAAAGAAGTGAGCATTTGTGAAAGTTTAGCCTTATTGCCAAGTCTCTCATCATTCAGTCTTCTTGCCCTACAGATCCATCCACTTCCTTTTCTACTCCCTTCTAAAGGGAGTAATGAGCTAGGATGTGCAGATGAAAACTATAAAATACACTCCCTTGCATGGAATTTTGAAACACTGTATCTTCCTGAGATGTTCTGCAAGTATATGCATGACAGGCATAATTTTCCCATGCATAAGTGACCACAAGCGGATTATCATGAGACATTTAGAACTGGACCCAGCTGCCAGAACATTTATTCGATATAAATGCAGAGAAAATACTTTAAAATTGGGTATTAGAATATGCATACCCCCATAGTGGCAATGTTTGTGAAATACATTCAAGAAGGACGGTTTCTGACTAATAATACATTTCCAGGATCTGAAATCTTTTTCGTAAATGCATCCCTTCTATAATTCAAAACGATCGATAGAAGATCCATTATTATTTATGGTTCACCATAGTAATTCATGGAACAGGTCACATCGCTATGGAATAGCCATTATTCTACAAACAGAATACTAACCACATCCAAAGTTGGTAAAATTACATATTATTCTAAAATCCAATAGACAACGTTTTGTAAGAGCATAGTATATTACAGAACAGCATGAATTGCAAGTATGATAGAGTGTATGATACTGTAAACATCTGTGGTAAGAGGTCTTGTGGGTCAAGTTTCATTCTTCATATGTCACAGTCAAGTCCATCAGGTATTTAAACTCTTCAAGCTCTATCAGGCAGGGGTGTAAACAGAGCTCTATAATAGTGCTATATTTTTGTAAGAAAGAGGTAGGTTTCTCACCATTCTGCTACAAGGTGGGTTTGACAAGAAACTGAATGTTTTTTCCCCCATCAACAAACTTTTTATTGAATAAACAGTGGCGACATAAACGGACACCATGGTTACACAGGTCAAGGCTATTTCGGGTGTAAAATTTTCTGTTTAGTATACACTTACCTCAATCTTATCGGATGCTGGGTGATGGTTGGCGATCAGCTGGTCACTTTCCTGCTTGACTTTGTTGAGGTCTTTTTCTTTAACTTCCAACTGACTCATGAGTTTCTAGGGGAGAAGAAAAAGCAAAGTGATCATCTAGAGCAGACTCTTTTGCAGAATTGAATAATGAATAAAAACTAAATCTGCAGATAATTTTAAAAGGACACGGTGGAGTTAGGAACACATACCTGTATTCCTAACGCTACAGTTTTAAAGTCCCTCCTTAGTTTTAGGGCCCCCCAGTGTGTTTGAAAACCAAACGAAAAACAAATAAATGTACTTACCTTCTTTAGAGAGTCACGTCTTGTTTGGCGCCGCTGTGACCCTCTCCTTGTATGATGTCATTCAGGATGACAGTCCAATCCAATGCTCCTCAGAGGGACATTGGGGACAAAAAGCACATGTGCGGCACTTGCGGCTATGTATCAATGTGTCTATGGTTCGCTTATAGAGAATCATTGAATACAATAATTCTTTATGTCAGACTGTAACGGCACTGCGAATGCACAATTGGCATCATGGTATGTATAGGTATGAGAGCCAGGAAGTAACAGTCCCAGCTCCCATACCAAGAGTGATTGGAGACTTGGCTTGAAGCTGCACTTCCAAGCCTTCTAATTATTATAATAAAAGATTTTGGGGGATAGGACAGAGGGGAGTAAGGACTGAAGGCACTAAAAGAACAATAAGATTTAATAATAAGATCAACTAAAGAGCAAAACAAAAACAGCATTGGGTTTTCATCGATAAAAAAGGGTATTTATGGTTTGAATTTTAAGTAAACAAGATTTAATCATTAACCTGTAGTGAATTGAAAACAGAATTGCAAATGCTGAGAAATTTTCCAAAGTGGCACAATTCACTACATCTGTACACAATGGCTTTCCTGCCAAAAGGTAAAGTCCCCAGAAAATATTTAAAAAATGTAAAAACTTGAACTTCTTTTGCATTCAAAGCTGCACAGTATTCGAATGACCCCATGTCCTTTGGACAGCCATAGACTAACTTACAGAGAAGGCCTCCTGCTTTCTCGGGATATCAGTGTTCCGGTCACTCCAATCATACACCAGCTCTTCCTCTTCACGGTCATTGATCCACATGATTTCTCTGGAGGTCGCTTGGATGATGTTCTGCAGCTGACGCAGTTGATCCATTCTTTCAAAAGATGCTTTCTGCAAAATAATAAATCTTTGTTTTACGAGATAATAATGGCAATTGCCATACATTATGGTATATTAGTAGATGCATTATTTCTTCAGTAGATTATGAGAGGAGAGTTAAAAGTGAGGAGAAGAGGAAAAAGGAAAGACAAGGAAAAAAAAAAAACCTTAAAAATAAACATTCTTACCAATAACACATCGTATTCCTCCTCTATTTGATAAATTGCTCCCTTTTCTCTCTAAAGAAAAAATAAATAAAAATTAACCATTAGCAAATTCATAATTCACCAATGTCAAACACTAAGATTATGCATGTGATCAGTATACAATGTAGATCAGTAAAAACAGGTGAAGGTATTGTCAGTCTTTCAAAGACTAGATATAAAACCAGAACATTAAAGTAACACTCCATCATAACCACTACAGCATGTTGGAATGCCCTCATGTCCCCTAAGTAATCAAATCAATTGCTAACATATTTGACAACTTACATAAGTCATAGAAAAGATTTGTATTTTTTTTTTTTTTTTTAAAACACACAAAAAAAAGTAGAAAATTACCAGATCAACTTTGATTTTGTCTAGTTCCCATCGGTATTCAGCAATAGCATTATGGAACACTCTGTGATTGTTAATTTGCTGCTCAACTGAATTTGCGTCAAACCCCCAGTCCACAAGCTCCATCTGACGCTGTAAAGAGAAAAAATAAATACATTTAAAAAAAAAAAAATTATAAACAAGGCAAAAAACAAATAAATTTCCTTTGTCTTATATTTTTATACACACACACAGCTGTATTACGGATGAACATTCCTTAACGCAGACATTCACATTTTATAAGTAACTGTCCAGCATTGTGTATTTTGGTGCCTTACAAATGGTAAATAAATCAATAAAGTGGTACAGTGCACATAATGGTTTTCAGCAATACATCTGTTATAGGTCTTGCTGGGATGTTTATGGCCTTGTTTAAAGGAACACTCCACTGCCCAAATGGGCAAAACATTTTAAGAGGTGTTCAATGTATAAAAGCACAGACAACGTCAAGAGGTTTAGTTGCTGTTCAAACCAAAACATCATAATGTTGAAGAATTGTAATCTAAAATAGGTTTGAGTATTTCAGGTACGGTGGATATCCTGGGATATTTATACACATAATTGTTTTAGTGCAGTGGTTCCCAACTCTTGAATCCACACCAGTAGCCCAGGTTGGGAAATTCTGTACTGTTCGAGTGTCAAGGACTGGGTTGGGAACCACTGCTTTAGACTTCAAAAAGAATGGTGGGGGGAAAATGATAAACATCCAGCGCACAGAAGTGGTGCGAGTGAATGAAAATGCATTTGTATTAAGACCTCAAAGAAGAATGGTAAGACTGGTTCAAGGAGCCGAGAAGACAACAATAATTGGAATAATCATACTTTTCAACAGCACTATGCAGAATAGCCTATCTTCCTATCCAGTATTATAAGTATTATATCTAATAAAGTGGTGATTGAGTGTATGTATACACACAGTAGATTCACTTTCTAGCTGTGGAAAGTTGTGCCACTTTATCAAAATCTCATTCAAAATAAGAAGGATGTTCAGAAGAGGAATGTATCATTTGTGAAGAAACATGCTATACTAAGATACACCTACACCTGAGGGTTAATGGCATCAGTTCAAGAAGAAAAAAATTAAAAACTCACACAGCCACTAAGAACTTCACAATCCACCAAATGCCAGACTAGACATATGAGTCATGCATTCTGACTAGGAGCCGAAACAAGAATTTGCTTCAACAAGGCACAATCAGACAAGCTAGAAATGTATTCTTCTGAAGTCGTTCACATCAGAAGATGTAATCAAAATTTAAATGCAATGTGATTTTTCTAAGGGAAACCATAAAAAAATTACAGCAGAATGTCACTGCAGTTGTACTTCAAAAGTTATAAATACCATAACCACTTCAGCTCACTTGTTTTTTTTGCCTTATGTCAGAGCTAGATAAAAATCATGAAAAATGCAGTTCAACCAAGTTCAGACACTGTATATGGTCAAAACCGATCACTATATTGTGATCGAATTAGGGATAGCCCGATTTTCCTAGAAACCCAGTTATTCAAGGAAGCCTTTCAGTTGCCTAAAGAACAGGTGTCCCGATTACCAAACGTATGCTTCACGTGTGCCCTGTGTTTAACCGAACACTTACAAATGCATTATACGCCAGTCATATCATTGTCAAATGTTACAAAAACAGTTAGGTCGCTCTTCCGACCTTACCACAGTAGATGGGAGCGTGCACAGAGCAGCTTTAGTAAAAAGTAAAAAAAAAAAAGAAACAACCTTTAAAATTCACTTACCCTGTGTTGTCGTATCTGATTTAATGTTTCTGTAGTGGTGCGCTTTGTGTAATCATCCCATCCTGACCCACTCTGCGATGAAAAGCCACCACCACCACCACCACCACCACCACTCGCTCCCCGAGATCCTTTGCGCATGCGAGAACTTTGAATTGCTTTATGAAGGGCACGCTGTTGATCCTGAAGCTGAAGCATCCTACAAAATTTAAAAAATTAAATTAAAATTAGTTTGAGCCATTTCAGACCTCGGTCACATGTAAAATGTTTGTGTAGATGATTACCTCCTATTATAACCATCACATTGGTGGCCCATGTTCATCATTTCCCGTATCATGCCATCAGCCATTTCCATCTGCTCATTGGCAATTCCAAGAGCCTCATCAACCTCCTTACTTCGAATCTGACCATCTCCAGTTTTCATTTCCTGAAATATTTTTATATAAATATTTACTTTATTATTATTATTATTTCTTCGCAGCAAAATAAAAAACCTATTGCAAATAGAGACACCAAAAAAAAAAAAAAAATAGGCCTTTTAGACATAACTAAACATAAAATTAAAATGATAGCTTGCAGTAAGTATTCACAGCAAAAAAAAAAAAATAAACTATTAAACTTTCTGTCAAGAAAATACTCCTTATGGCGGGTTTGATATTCTAGTGTTGTCAAAATTAAGGTTCTACTGATCTTTGGTGCCACATTTTTTACTATTGCTAATCCATTTTTTTTGTCTGTGCAAATGTATAAAAAGTAAAATGTAATAGCTTTGGTCTGTTTTTGTATTTGGTTAGAAAAAAAAAATTTTAAATTAAAAAGGAAAATAACTTCTCCGGCATGAACACCATTTAATAAAACCTTGAAGGGGGAACACAAGTTGAAGGACCACTATAGTGCCAGGAAAACAAACTCATTTTCCTGGCACTATAGGGTCTTTATATCCCCCCCCCCCCCACCCTCATGGCCCCCCTCCCGCTGGGCTGAAGGGGTTAAACACTTACCTTTCTCCAGCAGAACTCTCCTTCCTCTTCCAACGTCAGCGCTGAATGCGCATGCGCTGCAAGAGTCGCACGCAAATTCAAACAGTCCATAGGAAAGCATTTCTCAATGCTTTCCTATGGACCTCAGCGTCTTCTCACTGATTTTCACAGTGAGAAGCGCGGAAGTGCCTCTAGTGGCTGTCAGAGAGACAACAACTAGAGGCTGGATTAACCATAATGTAAACATAACAGTTTCTCTGAAACTGCTATGTTTTCAGCTGCAGGGTTAACCCTAGATGGACCTGGCACCCAGACCACTTCATTGAGCTGAAGTGGTCTGGGTGCCTATAGTGGTCATTTAAAGGTGAATTTCTTTTACATAATACGATCTTTTCAAAAATTTATCATAAGCCAGTTGAGACCAGGTAAATCCATTGCACATGACAGGAGAAATAATAGCAACGTTGAATTTCTCCTTTTCTCTGTAAGTTTCCTCTAGATTGACTGCCAGTTTTAAAGGACAGAGCTTAGAAAAATGATTGACAGAGAGCTAAAATGGAAGCACCCAATTGCAGGACAATTTGGTGTAGCTTTCTAGATTTAATTTAATTTTTGTCAGCTCACAAATACATATTTGTTAAATATATATCGATTAGTAAACCAAATACTTGAAATCCTGCAGATGTGACAATGCCTCTTTATTTTAAACTCCATTCCTAAATAGAATATGTCCTAACCTTTCAAATTTGGCTTTCTATTCCTATTCCTAATTTCCAAGTCTTTTATGCACATATTCCCATTGTTATTAATAGATGACATTTGGCATCATTAAAGGGACACTATAGTCACCCAGACCACTTCAGCTCAATGAAGTGGTCTGGGTGCCAGGTCCCTCTAGGGTTAACTCTGCAACTGTACATTTGGGGTTAAGCCAGCCTCTAGTGCCTCCATCACGCAGAGCGTCCATAGGAAAGCATTGAAAAATGCTTTCCTATGGACACTTTGAATGCGCGCGCAGCACTGCCGCGCATGCGCATTCCGCTCCACTGACGTCAGACGGGGGAACTGGCGTCGGCGGGGGAGGAGAGGTAAGGGAGCCCGGCAGTGGAAGAAGGTGAGTAACTGAAGGGGTTTTAACCGGTTTTCACCTGACACTAAAGTGATCCTTTAACACTATATGCAAACTTCGCTCTAAGCAATAATATTTAAAGGGACACTATAGTCACCAGAACAACTACAGCTTAATGTAGTTGTTCTGTTGAGTATAAATCATTAAATGCAGGAATTTTTCATGCAGTGTTTACATTGCCTCTATGGACACCTCCAAGTGGCCACTCCTTAGATGACCACTGGAGGTGCTTCCTGGCTCAGTGCTGCACAGTAGGCAGCAGTTCTGTTCAGCGACTCCACGCTCTGCATAAGGATGCTGAATTGTCCTCATAGAGATGCACTGATTCAATGCATCTCTATGAGGAGGTGCTGATTGGCCAAAACAGTGTTTGGCCCCAACCCCTCGCCTATTGGGAAAGCATTGGATTGGCTAAAAATCTGCAATTCTGGTGATGTCAAACCCACGCGGCGCTGGAAATAAAGGTGCGTTTTATCAACTTTTAAGAAGGCTTAAGGGGTGTGAGCAAGCTACCTAAATGGTGGGTTTTGCACATTTTGTTCCTGATCCTATAGTGTTCCTTTAATGTACAAATACAAGCATATGCAATGTAATAAATCACCTATTGATCTGAAAGGCGGCATGGGAAAATCTAATCAAAAGGAACATACCAAATTGCTAGATGCAGAATCTAATAACCTGTAACCTCATTTGCAAAAAAAAACCACATTAGAAAGGAGGCAGTCGAAAATCTATATAAAATTTGGGGATTCTTTACTTAAAGGATCACTATAGCGTCAGGAACACAAACATGTATTCCTGACCCTATAGTGCTAAACCCACCATTAAGGTGGCTTGTCCACCCTTAGCCCCCCTATAAAAGTTTAAAACTTCCCTTATTTCTAAGGCTGCGCAGGTCTGCCGGCGTTGGCTCCGCCCGCTTTGTGACATCACCAAAATGGACGATTTTTATCCAATCCAATGCTTTCCCATAGGGAAGTGTTTACATGAAAATGCCTGAAGGGAGCTATTATACTCACCAGAACAACTACATTAAGCTGTAGTTCTTCTGGTGACTATAGTGTCCCTTTAATATATTAAACACATGCATATGTTTAGCAGAAGACATACAACTAATTTGCGACTTATCTTACACAGATACCCTACTAAAATTCAAAGACATTCAGGGAGCAACAGAAGTTGAGGCCTAGAAATGAACACCTAAAAAATAAAAAAATAAATAAAAATAAAAAGTAATGTTGAGATCATCATTGCCACTTCCAAGAAGTAGGCTATACCAGGCTTGCATTTGGGAGTTATTTTAGCCATAGTCAAATCTCACAGTCAACAACAGCGTGGTTCTAAAATACCTTTTTTAAAAGTCCTAACCTATAAGCCAAACCTATAAAGTCTCATACCAGCACAAATGCACACAAAACAGAATTTTGTTTTGATTCACAGTTACAAATCAGCATGTGTTGATCAGATGCACATATTTCAAAAGGGTCATTGCATGAATGAATACAAGTAGTAATGAGAGAGGAGTGTGTTTGGAACCCCATTTCCCTCCCTTTATCAGCTGCTCTATTCCTCCTTCCTCTATATGGCTATGGATGTGGAGAGGGAAACGTAGTTTGTACATTAAGGGTCAGGATAATTTAAGACCAACCATAAATCTATTTCTGACACTAAATTTTTGCCCCAGACTTGCAGTTTATTATAAACAGGGTGGGCCTTATATAGTTAGTCATGCAACAGAAATGTATGTTAAAAATGAGCATTTTACTTACATATTGCACTATATTTTCAGCTTGCATCAGGTGGTCAGATATAATCTGGAACATATCCTGAATGGTGTTGGAGCGCCGTGACATGGTACTAGCTTGCCTGTGAAATTAACAAAATTACAAAAAAGTTTTTATCACTTGTAATGTTTCCGGATGACCATCTTAAGATTTAAAAAGGAGTTCTAGCCAACAGCATAATTACATATATTTTGCAATATATTAATGCACTTGCCTGACTGCACATTTAAAGAGTAGGTACAACCCTTTTCTTGACAAGGTTGTTTAGCTTTATGATGCCATATTGGGCATAATTGATCTTGCCCACCCACTTCAATAAACACTGTTAAATAGATTAAAACTTCCCTCAAATCAACCGCGGGACGAGGTACTCCTCGCTCCTCGTCCTATCTTCGTTTAAACACCCCATCTGTCATTACACAGCCTCTTCGGTGGTCCATTCAAATACTTATGATAAAGAAACATTTGATATGACCATTTCACCAGCTCACAGCACAGACACGTGCTCTGAAGCCAATGAGAAGAGGGAAGGTTTTAATTATAAATTTAAAAACAAAAATAAATAAAAAATGTTGAGAACTGAGGGAGGTGGGGCGGACTGCTTAACCCCTTAAGGACACATGACATGTGTGACATGTCATGATTCCCTTTTATTCCAGAAGTTTGGTCCTTAAGGGGTTAAAGGACCACTATAGTGCCAGGAAAACATACTTGTTTTCCTGGCACTATAGTGCCCTGAGGGTGCCCTCACCCTCAGGGTCCCCCTCCCGCCTGGCTCTGGAAGGGTGAAAGGGGTTAAAACCTTTTTCCAGCGCTGGGCGGAGAGCTCTCCTCCTCCGATCCTCCTCCTCTCCTCCCCGGCATTCATAATGCTTTCCTATGGACACTGGCGTGCTCTCACTGTGAAAATCACAGTGAGAAGCACGCAAGCGCCTCTAGCGGCTGTCAATGAGACAGCCACTAGAGGAAATAGGGGGAAGGCTTAACCCATTCATAAACATAGCAGTTTCTCTGAAACTGCTATGTTTATGAAAAAATGGGTTAACCCTAGCTGGACCAGGCACCCAGACCACTTCATTAAGCTAGTTGCACATAGCTGTAGATTTCTCTGTATGTGCATCATTTCAAGAAGAAACACTACCATGACCATTTCTAAAAGCAGAAGTGGTCATGGTGGTTGGAGATGCCCTTTGACTCTAAAATTAGCCAAATTTAGTAAAACCTACTTCTTAAACGTGTGTAAAAACTCCATATTTTGCAAATAAAAAAAAAATAAATAAAAAAAAAAAAAATCGCCAAGCATCAATATTCCTTAAATGTTATACAAGTGGCATAAACATAATACTGGAATTACATGTAATTTCACTGAAAACAATAAGACAAAAATTATAACTAAAGAAAAAATAAATAAAACAAAAGTACAACAAAGTCAAATGTCACTTAGTAGCCAGATTCAGTTGGTCAGAGGCGGCTATCCACACATACAATTCTTCATAACCATTGAATGTCTGCTCTATATACAGAGCATTCACAAATCATTGCATGAAAGTATCATCTCCTATGCCACTAACAAGTTGTTCCATTGTTCAGACAGTGGGTTATATTTTCATAGGACACATTCAGAAATGCTTCATGCAACAAAACCTTAAGATGTGGATAGTAGGACAATATAATGAACCAAGGTCTAATACTGGGGTAATTAAGAGAGGCTCCATTATATATGAATCCTAGATCCCTAAATTGATTAATTGATAAAATGAGTGAGGGTCTCCAGCAAACTTGTTTTGTACACTTAACCAGCCACAACATTAAAACTACAGACAGGTGACATGAACACCATGGATTATATTGTTACAATGGCACCTGCCAATGGATGCAATATATCAGGCAGCATGTGAACAGCCAGTTCTTAAAATTTCATGGGTTGGAAGCAGGAAAAATGGGCAAGCAAAATGATCTGAGTGACTTTGACAAGGGCCAACTAGTTATGGCTAGATTACTGAGTCAGAGCATCTTCAAATCCGCTAATCTAGAGGGGTGTTCATGGTATGCAGTGGTTAATACCTACCAAAAGAGGTGCAAGGATGAAACAAAACAATAAACTGCTGTCAGAATCATGTGCGTCCAAGGCTCACTGATGCACGTGGGGAGCGAAAGCTAGCCTATCTGGTCCAATCACACAGAAGAGCTACTGTAGCTAGAATACCTGAAATATGTTGGCCATGACTGAAAGGTGTCAGAACACACAGTGCGGCCTAGGTTGCTGCGTAACTACAGACCGGTCAAATGCTGAAAGTGTCTTCATTGGGGACATAAGAATTGGACTACAGTGCAATTTATTTTTTTAAAGTTGCCTTGTCTGATGAATCAGGTTTTCTTTTAGCCCAGATGAATGGCCGGGTGCATCATTTACTTGGGGAAGAGAATGCAGTTGGGTGCACTAAGGGAAAAATTCAGATCGGCGGAGGCAGTGTTATGCTCTGGGCAATGGTTTCCTGGGAAACCTTGGGCATTCATGTCGCTGTTACTTTGACATGTACCACCTACCTAGAGATTGTTTGCACACCACGTACATCCCTTCATGGCAATGGTGATCACTGACGGCAGTGGGCTCTTTCAGCAGGATTGTGCACACTGCAAGAATTATTCAGGAATAGTTTGAGGAACATTACAAACCATTCAAGATGTTGCCTTGGCCTTTAAATTCCCATGATCTCAATCCAATTGAGCATCTGTAGGAGGTGTTGAAACAACAAATCTGATCCTTGGAGGCCTCACCTGATAAGGTCTTGGTGACAAATATCACAGGACATGGTAATAGATCTTGGAGAGTCCATGCCTCAATGCATCAGAGCTGTTTTGGCTGCACAAGGAGAACCTACACGATATTAGGCAGATAGTTTTAATGTTGTGGCTGATCAGTGTGTTTGTTTTCATATGGTCAATTTGATCAGGACCAGGTACCATCTGTAGACGGTCTTCTAGATTTGTTCTAGATGGAAAGTATAGTTTGTCTACACTCTATGCTCTGTAATAGCTGCATCAACACACCTAATCTTTTTCACATCCAATGTCTTTACCAGATTTAATATATGCGGGACAATATGGGGAAACATTTAACAGGTCGATAACATTTTAAGAATGGACACCCTATTAAAAACTTGAATAAGACGCCTTTAGAGGATCACGGCTTCTGAGTGATATAGATCTCATAAATGGATTTGTATAAGAGCAAGGCTGTGGGTCTCAGGTTATATTTTATATCAAAACGTATAAATGATCGGTTTTCCCATACACACGGAGCTGGAACAGGTGAGCAATTCCTGCTGCAAACTAAGGCCTACAATCAAATGCAGATATAAAAAAAAAAAAGAGAGAAACACGTATTGGTGTTTCCACATAGATGGGGTTTTGAATACACAAGTTATATCACTAAGTGTACCAGGTTTTCAAGGATAATTGGATGGTCTGGAGAAAGTTGGATAGAAGTTGTCTGGTGTGTTTTAGTAAAAGATTAAAATATTGCACTCTTGTCCACAGTGAGCTTAAAGAGTCCAAGAGAACCCACTCGGGTGGGGATTTCAAGGAGTGTGCCTTCACCATACCTATCATTCGGAAATAGGCTTTTAGATTCGGTAAAGATTATCTCAAGGAATTATCAGAGACATGAAAATGCTTTTTCAACATTAAAGACATTAATTACTACGCCACCCATATGTGATTTGTTTAAAAGATGTAAAAAATTCCAAACTTCTCTGTCGTCGTAGGCTAACCCACACAAAGTCCTCCAGATCATCAGGAATGATAGCTGTCAATATCAATTTGCAAACAATTTAGCAGATATTTCACCATCAGTGTTAATCAGAGACTCAGATTTTGACACTTACAGGCTATTCACTAAACTCAGAATTTAAATAATTAAATCTGAATGGAACTACTAGAGCAAAAATAGCCAAGTTAAGGCTCTAATTTTTTTCTTCTTTTTAGAGATAAGCAAATTTTTGCCACAGTTTTCACATTCAGATTTAATTCATGAATATTCAGAATTTAGTGTCTGGAGATTTTCCTGGCTTCCGCCAAATGACAACAATGGTAGGCAACATTTATGGACACAGTTCTTTTTTCCTCCCTATTTGTATTTGATTGTAGTTTACACTTACAAAATACAACTGTTTTGCAGTAATAGAGTAGCCAAAGATGATGATAACAATGGTATAATAAATTATGTAAGAGGCATTACACAGATCTTGGCAATTTTAATCTTTATATGAGTGGCCTGTAACTTGTGTCATGAGCTATGGTTAACTGGTTTGGCATGTGCCCGACCCCAAGGTATAAATAATCAGTAGGTAGGTTGAGGGAGAAACTACTGAAGGAGAAACAAAGTAAAATACGTAGGAGCTTTTATTTGTAGCTTAAAGGAACACTATAGTCACCTAAATTACATTAGCTAAATAAAGCAGTTTTAGTGTATAGATCATTCCCCTGCAATTTCAATGCTCAATTCACTGTCATTTAGGAGTTAAACAACTTTGTTTCTGTTTATGCAGCCCTAGCCACACCTCCCCTGGCTATGATTGACAGAGCCTGCATGAAAACAAAACTGGTTTCACGTTCAAACAGATGTAATTTACCTTCAATAATTGTATCTCAATCTCTAAATTGAACTTTAATCACATACAGGAGGCTCTTACAGGGTCTAGCAAGCTATTAACATAGCAGGGGATAAGAAAATCTTAATTAAACAGAACTTGCAATAAAGAAAGCCTAAATAGGGCTCTCTTTACAGGAAGTGTTTATGGAAGGCTGTGCAAGTCACATGCAGGGAGGTGTGACTAGGGTTCATAAACAAAGGGATTTAACTCCTAAATGGCAGAGGATTGAGCAGTGAGGCTGCAGGGGCATGTTCCATACAACAAAACTGCTTCATTAAGCTAAAAGTTGTTCAGGTGAGTAAAGTGTCCTTTTAACTATATTCTCACACAATACTGTGGTCTTTAGGCTATGTGAATGAACACTAAAATCCTTGTGCAGCATCAATAGTGTAGGAGTCAGCTAGTCAGTATAACCAGTAGTATGAGTCAGCACTTTGCGCTTTTTCCAGCCTTACGGGCTTCTATTTGGTTGGATTTAAGCAAATTCAGACGCAAGAGCAAGATCGTCTGGTCCACAGATGAGCATAGGGTGACTCCCTGCTGAACTACTAGTGAGCCGCCTATCCCCCACCTATACTTAATTGCAGCATCTCATAACTGTCTAGCAGCTGGTGTCTCAGATAGCTACATTACAGCCCTCAAAGCACACACCAAGCTCTCTAGAACGGGCCATTACAGCGGACCGAACCGCTATGTTTTTTGTCACTGCGATGTGTCTCTTGGAGCATAAGCAGGAGCAGCTGCAGTTTTTCGGATTCGGAACGCCAAGGTTACATTTGCCCTTGTTGGCACCTTCCTTGACACCCATGGAGGTTAGTAGTCGTAGGAGAAAAGGTAGTAAGGCATCTCCTCCAATTGTTTCTGGCACCCCCCCTGAGGCGGATGTTCTTCCAGCACTGTTACTGTTCTGGTAAGTCTCTAGACTTGTTGGGAGAGGTCTTGGAACTAGTCTTGGGTGATCTGCATCCTTTGTTCCCTGGCATTTTCTCTAGACTGCACATCGGTAATCTTGACGCAGGGTCCCCAGTTCAGCTTTTGTTCCTAGTAGGTCTGCTTTCCACACCCGTCTCAATTCCAGCAATACATTTTTTACATCTCCTTTCAGTGCTGTTGATGAGTCTTCCTCTGAGTCGCACTCACTGTAGGGGCCACTCAGGATGCCTCTGAAGCCTCCTTCTTGCTTAGCTCCGCAGGTGCCATCTTAGTAAGAACCAGGGGTGTAAGCCTGTCAAAAGAAAGGCTTATGTCTGGAAATTTACATGCCTCTTGGGTCCTTTTTTTTTTTGCTCCCCATAGTGTCAACTGTTTGGGAGGCAATAAACGGAGTGGCTTTTGAAGCTTTTCAATCATAATTCTCTTTTTTCTTTTATGCTCTGGGACAGTGCTCCTCAAAAGCATGTCTTTCTTGCTGTGCAGTCAGCCACGGCCCAAACAAACAAAATCTTTTTGAAATACAAAAATGAAAAAAACACATCCAGCCCAGGGCCTTTGTTGGAGAAATTTAATTGTACCGCTTACTATTTCTGCAGATACCTGTGCTATAAGGCTGTCTCTTTGAATCTTTTGTAAACACCACTCCCCTTCCTGAGGATAACAGTCTCCAACCTGAAAAGCTGAAGAATAATATACAAAGTTTCTTTAAGTGGAGGATGCACTACAATTCAATAAGCTAGATACATATACAACCAAAACAAAAAGAATACAATAATTGGGTATTTCTCTGTCCTTAGGCAGTTATAAATAAGTTGTTTATTTCTCACTGTATGATAACAGTGATTCATGCATTACACATGAAAAAAAATAACAACAATGCTTGGTTAACAACCAAGATTTTTTCATTTTTCTTCCAAATATTTACTCCCTTGATGAACTGGCTTCAAGCTCTCGCATGTTAGGGAAGCTATGATGTCAACAAGGTTTGAAAACCAGCGTGAAGAGATTCACCTTGTGCTTTAAATAGGTTTTTATAATGGGGAGGGGGAGGGGGAGAGGCGGACTTAATTCCCAATGGGGCATTATAAATTAAAAAATGTATTTAAAAACAAAAAAGACCTAGAGCAATTCATCAGGTCTATATTTTTTTTGTAGGTTATTTGTTTTGTTCTTTTTAATGTCTCATTTTCTTTTTTAAATGCCTTTTTATATTCCCTGAATATGGGCCCTCTCTGTATTAGTTCTGTCACTGTATAGGATTAAAATATAAGTTTTGCCAAGGGCACCAACAACAACAACAACAAAAGTTGTAGATCTTGCACAGTCCATGTATTTGAGGATATGCACAATTTTTAAATGTTTACAAACATAATATAATTGAGAAAAAAGGAAGAAAAATAAAATAAATAAAAAAATAACTCCACATTGGGCTCAAAGACAAAAATGTGTTTAAAAATTATGATGGAGTCAATATATATCCTAGATATGCATTGTTAGATAAACGGTCATGTACTTTTATTAAACCTCTAGGTATTGACCCATGTATGGATGGTAATGATTGGTCCATTGTGTCCTCTTATCTGCACTTTACCATAAATATTTCCCCAGAGTCACATTTCACAAGTCCATTAAGGTGGTTAGGTGTCACTCTATAAAATGAATGTCTCCTATAAAGCAACTTTGTTTTTTTAAACTAAAAAGCAAAATTTCTAATTGCAGGTTCCTAGTCAGATTGCGAATAAATGTTGGCCTAAATTCTGCAGTTGCTTTCAATTCCCTACAATTCAGTGTTCAGTGAGTAAAGCATAGATTACTACAGTACTCGAGTTATATAATACACTGGTTTAAAAAAATTTTTATTTTTTTTATTTTTTTTTTTAAATAAAGGAAGGAGAGAGAGATATAAGAGAGGGCTATTTTAAAGGAACACTATAGGGTCAGGAACACAAACAGGTATTCCTAACCCTATAGTGTTTAACCCACCATTTAGGAGGCATGCCCTCCCTTAGCCCCACTATAAAAGTTTAAAACTCACCTTATTTCCAGCCGACGCTGGTTCCGCTCCCTTTGTGACATCATAAAAATGGACGATTTTTAGACAATCCAATGCTTTCCTGTTTTGGCCAATAAGGACATCCTCATAAAGGTGCATTGAATCAATGCATCTCTATGAGAAAAAATCAGCTTCTCCATGCAGAGCGTGGGGACGCTGAACATCAGGGTTGCTTTTTTGAAAGCACTGACCCAGGAAGCACCTCCAGTGGCCACTTGGAGGTGTCCCTAGAGGTTATGTAAACACTGCCTTTTCTCTGAAATTTTTTTTAAAAAATGCCTGAAGAGAACTATTATACTCACCAGAACAACAACATTAAGTTGCAGTTCTTCTGGTGACTATAGTGTCCCTTTAACTATTTTGCACAGAACTTTATTTTCAAAAGCCTGCAACTGCAGTTTTGTGTAACAGATTATTTTGTTAAAGGCAGTCCTGGAATGTGAGGTTACAGAAACAGCAGCCACTAATGCCTCCACAGAGAAGGTCAGGCACCTTTTGAAAGTATCCAAGGATATGCTTAGTTCACAAAATAAATTTGCCAGCATTTCTAAGGAGAATGTGAATGGAGAGATTCATTACTTCGGTCAGTATTTCTTCACCCCACTACAGATTGTTTGCAGACTGTGTACCATAAAAGAATGCAACGGCCTTCTTGCCCCACCCTACCCCCAAGCATTCTGCCTTCAAATTCCACAAAGTTTTATTGTAGGTTTTCAAATTCTCTTTTAGAAAGCATACATATATTTAGCTCTACAATTGAAAAGCAACATAGCCACGTGAAGTTTAACCCCTTTGCTACCAGAAGTGTAACTCCACTTTTGGCAAAATCATTAGCCAGTCAGAACAAACATTTCAGGCTGGTTATTGTTCTGAGCAAATTTTCATACAAAGTGGTAGATAGCGGTAAGTATTTTCAGTGTCCCCTTAAAGGGACACTATATAGTTACCTAAACAACTTTATCTTAATTTAAGTAGTTTGGTGTATAGATTGTGTCTCTGAAGTTTCACTGCTCAATTATCTGCCATTTAGGAGTTAAATCACTTTTGTTCCTGTTCATGCAGCCCTGGGTCCACCTACTCTGGCTAGGTCTCACAGAGTCTGCATAAAAAAAATTGTTTCATTTTCAATCCAATGTAACTTTTACTTTAGAAGTTATTATCGCCTGCTCTGTTTATTAAACTTTATTACATACAGGAGGTACCTGCAGGGTTTAGCAAGCCATTAACAGAGTAAGAGAAATTCTAAATTAAAACAGAATTTGCAATAAAGGAAGTGTAAACATTAGAGGACTCTTTACAGGAAGTGTTTTAACTCCTAAATGGCAGAGAATTGAGCAGTGAGACTGCAGGGGCATGGTCTATTCACCACGACTGCTTCATTAAGCTAAAGTGGTTTGGTGACAATAGTGTCCATTTCATTGTGGCATAAATAACTTATTGTGCAAGATTCAAGGCAGGTATTAAGCAGAGTGTGGAGGAAAGTATAAAATAAGTGACAGAGGGGGGCAGGGACTGACCACTATGGCAACTGGATGTGTTTACACTGAGCTCCTCATATATGCCTTGATTTGGTCCAGTCGCCCTTGCCGTCTACACTTCACCCGGAGCAATCCAAGACTCTTAGCTATCCTGCATTATTGACCAGCTCGGCGGTTGCTTGCAGCAGTCGGACGACGGCACTTCACAAATTGAGTGCGAGGCCTGGCGAGCGCAGTAGTAGGGAAACGCTGCCGATTTCCTTGCCTGATGTGTGCCAACCTGAATCACCAAAGAGCTGATGCCCCGCTACCCCCTCTCTGCACCGGTGGGGGTAATCCCGGTACCCACCTTGTTAGTCCCTACACTCCATGGGAGACTTGTGGTCCTGCTAAACTCTGCGACTCAACCCCAAACTTACCTAACATGGCGGAGGCTGCATGTCCCCTGACGCACCATAGTCCAGGCTGGACACCATCTTTGACAGGTTCGAAAGGGAGCTGCAGTGAGGTGTCTCCAGCCTGCTACATAAGTCCCATCATATCCCTTACCTGCAAGGGTAGCGTGGCGGCCCTGGGGCAGATGAGAAGCTTTGGGCCCAATGACTGCCTGTTCCCGATGGCACAGACCACGCCGGCAGCACCAAAAGTGAACATCACATGGCACAACACAGAAGCGGGTCAACAGCAAGCCACGAGCAGTGTTCAGTGTGACACCTGCAGAGCAATGGGAAGCACTGTGCATACCGCATGGACTGACCGCTCATTCTACCAATTTGTCACAAGTGATTGAAGCACACGTCTCCACAGCATCATACTACGGACTGTATCCTGCCCAGAACAGGCATCAACTGAAGTGTGATCGGGGGGCCTTGACGCGGCTCTCTTTGGGCCATGCAAGCCTACCCTGCAGAGAACTGCTGATGTACAAGCTACTCCTTTAATTGTGGGCAAATTACCGCTTTTTGTGCTATTATGCCTTTCCACTAATCTATTATACCTTTCTTCCATCCAAATAGAGGGGCCTATGGGGTGGTAACCTTGTGATGCTGAACAGATCAGCTAGTCTAGTTTGTCTCACCACTTACTTATTACTAACTAGGCATTTAATGCAATTGTTATGCTCCATTGTTTTGTTTTTCCTTAGTACTCTCGTTATCTTACTTTACGAAAAATAAAAATGTAAAAATTATGCGGACCATTGTATTACATGCTGGATATAATTTTCTACACTGCCTTTCTTACTGTATATGAGCAATATCCATGTATTCATGCACAAAAATAAAGAATATAAGAAAAAATGTTTTAAATAAAATAAAAACCCAAAACAACAAGTGACAGAGGGGCAGATTGGCAGACGTCTGCTCAGCATTGCCTGCTGGATGGCTAAATAATTGTCCTTATAAGCAATTAAAGAGAAATGTAGCGGGTTTATGGAGAATTCAATGATATATGAGACAAGTAAATGCGAAAAAAAGAGATGCACATAAATGTCTGTTTTTATCTGTACAAAAATTTTTTTAGGTACACTATTAATATATATTAATATTGAGAGTATGCATCATCACACCTGTGATACCACCTGTCTGAGTTTACAAATATTGCAAGATGTATTGCTCACAATTGCGATCCTCTGTCTAGATGCTGTAAGAAAGCACAATATAATATAATTGCTTACAGTCCTGTGCATTTGTTAATGGGTTGGATCCTGGTACTATATGACTCAATTACACAGCAAAATGTACCATTAGATTTATTTAGTGTGGGTGGCTAAGGGAACAGTTGTATGTAGATTTGTGATTTGGTTTTATTGTTAATTTATTTATTTTTACTATTTTCTTAAAGGACCACTCTAGGCACCCAGACCACTTCAGCTTAATGAAGTGGTCTGGGTGCCAGGTCCCTCTAGGATTAACCCTTTTTTTTATAAACATAGCAGTTTCAGAGAAACTGCTATGTTTATACTGAGGGTTAATCCAGCCTCCAGAGCCTCTAGTGGCTGTCTCATTGACAGCCGCTAGAGGCGCAAGGAGGAGAGGAGGAGTACAGCTCCCCGCCCGGCGCTGGAGAAAGGTAAGTGTTTAACCCCTTCCTCTCCCCAGAGCCGGGCGGAAGGGTGACCCTGAGGGTGGGGGCACCCTCAGGGCACTATAGTGCCAGGAAAACGAGTATGTTTTCCTGGCACTTTAGTGGTCCTTTAAGCCTTATTTTATTATTAAAATTCATTCTAGATAAATTGATAATGCTATATGTTCTTGTACTCAGAAATTCCATCTGCAGTGATACACTAATTGCTTTCCAACAGAAAATAAATATATATATATATAATATATATATATATATAAAAACACACACACACACACACTATTGCCCTTTCATTGTTTTTTGTATTAAATTCTCTTTTTTGTGCTGATGTCATTGTTTTGATCTGTTTTATGGAGTTTCTCTCAGCAGGTCAAAGTTCAGTGGCATGCAAAGCTAAACTGCCATTACTAACTCACCTCCAATTCTTTCTCAAAGGCTGCCAGAAACAGGCTCAATGGAGAAGAACAATTTAATGAGTAGAAATTGTCTTGATAAACAAAATGGCTGCCTCCCCTCCGCCCCCACTGAGATCATAGTTCAATAAAAAGCGACAGTAAAGGAGGTTATATTTTTATGCACTTAACCATAAATTAGAGGATTTACAGATGTGACAAAATAAACGTACAAATAGCCAGTAACGGGTGTCTCATTAAAATGATCATAAGCAAAATAACAATCACAGCTCAACGTAGTGTTTATGGCAGCACAATTCTACGGCATCTGTGGGGTTCTTGTGAAGAAGCCAGTGAGCTCTCCAATACCAGCATAATGGTGTAATGTGATTTGATAAAAGAACAGATGGAAGCGGTTACATTGTGAATATACTAGGGGCAGTAATAATTATTTTACCAGTGGTAAATTTATAAGAGAAATTTTCAAGCAATTTTAGGTCACTCTGCTCAGAGTGAATAAAAAGAAAATATTAACTTCATGTTAATAAAAATAAACATTGATTAAATACTTCCCTACTGGTATCTATTCTCTTTGTATATGTTATGATTCACACAATGTCCTTGATTATGTCTCCATTTACCTATTCCTAAATACTGCATTCCTTCTAAGCATCCTTAATTAGTCCCTCTATTGGGTTAAAATGCATGTTTTTTTTTTTTTCTCCAAATGTCCTTGTTTTGTATTTGCTCAATAGTACTCTTGGTGTATGGTTTTAACCCCTTAAGGACACATGACATGTGTGACGTGTCATGATTCCCTTTTGTTCCAGAAGTTTGGTCCTTAAGGGGTTAAACCAGAGTCCCACAGCAATAATACGCACAGTAATGTCTTTTTAAAGTAGAAAAAAAAAATTGTATTTAAAAGATGGCTTGTGTAAACAAAATATATATACTTTTTCCAAAATAACATTTTAGTCGCATACCTTCTTAGTAAATCACAAATTATAAGAACAGCTTCACCCCTAGATTCCCCCCCACCCACATAATTAAAAGGTCTCTCTTTGACCATTGAAAAAGTTGTGAATTATGCAGCTCTAAGGCCAAAGATTTATGGGATACAATAAGCATTCCCACACCAGATTTGCTGCCAACAAAAATTTAACAAGTTTCTTTTTTTGTTTGTTTTGCCTTTTCTTTCAACCTTTAAGCACAGCTTTTGAATATAAACAAAAATGATGTTTTTTACCGCTGATTTGCGCACGATTGAGCCATCCTAATTAATTTCTGTGGCAACATGCCACAAATAGTATAGGTAAGAGCTAAAAAGAAAAATAGTATATATTTCCTGATACAGAGAAACAAAAAGACTAAAGCTTTGAAACAAGTATTTGTGTACATTATGTTTTTGTATCTGCAATAAGACAAAAGAAGGAAAAAAATATATATTTATACATACACACATTCTAAAGAATGATTTTCATGGCACTATCTAAAAGCGTGTGACCGCAGGTTTGGTGCCTGATATTTTATTCAGTCCCAGACTACAAGCATGAATAAAGACGGCCTTCATGTCCAAAGATGTACAGTGAATCATAATTAGTATCAGCATATTAGCAAAACAGTGCTTATCTGGTGGGAAATGGAGAAATTCAACAAAACCCTCCTACACACAAAACTCCCTTCCAGGGAAGTACAAGAACCACAGTCACTACACCTATAATGAAGTGATCTCATGGAGCAGGCAAACTGACCTGTGCATTCCACCTACGTGGGGGGAGGGGGGAGGGAAACATCACCTACAACTTTTTTTGTTCAGAAAATGCTTCTAATACAGCAAAAGGAAACAAGCCTACAAAATTACATCAACACTGAAAAAGGGGAGTAATGAAATGCAGAATTCCCACCAGCCGAGTCTTCATTCCCTAGGTTACCTCTGGATATTAGGCATTGATCCTGAGCAACAAAGATATGAACGCAGCTTTGCAGTGTATATTTTCTGTAACAACTTCAAAAAATGCTGCCGTACTTAGGCACAAATAGCTGAAACACTTTTTTTTTTTTTTTTTTTTTTACAGGTGACATTTATAGGAAACACTTTTATATATAAAGCAGCTTTACACAGAATCACTGTCAGATTATGGCCCAATATACAACACATACACAGAAATCCACAATACAACTGCAAGCCTACCACTGGATGGACCAGTTTAACAAGCATTCTGTGCTGCGTTGTATCATTTGAAAATGGAGGTATATTTTTTCATTTGTACAAAAGGTTGCGTGGGAACGGAGGAACTAGTATGGTTGTGGAGATTTGCTCATATATTAAACCAGGAAGTGAACAAATTAATAATGGAGAGTTTTAGTTGCACACATGCTAATTCCAATGATAAAATGTTGATACCATGTATACAAGAATAAGAAAAGCAATATCAACTACTTTCGCATGTGTGACAAATGTTCGATTTATAAAATGCATAATCACTTCTGACTAAAACACCAACCCAAACAAGTTGTAACAGACTGAAACAAGATGAAGAATACGTATAAACAGTTATCATTAATATTTAGAGTATCTACAGATCCTGCAGAGCGGTTACACAAACCATAGGTAGGCATCTCAAACTGTGGCAACCCAGATGATGCCAAGACACAAGTCCCATTATTTGCAGGCCATCTACTGAATTTAAGGAATATCTGCCTTAACGTGTGAATTTCAAATGTTGTTTTTAAACGTTTTCAATAATTTAGTAACCCAGAAAGACCAATGTGAATAGGAGGGTTAACATAAAAATTGCTTTGGCCCAACTCAAAGGATAATTAATTTACATGACACAAAGAAGAGTTCTAAAAGCTTGGTTAAAGTTATACCATCCTCGAGCTATAGAAAGACAGATATTCCATTATAGCACCCATGAAATTATACCAAAAATCAGGCCAAATAGATTGATATTCTGGTTTTAAAATGCCAAGACAATCCGTGTAAGATAAATGCATGTACACCACTGTCACCCGTATGCCTTACCCATAGCCATCTCCAATGGTTTCACTGGTGCTGTAATGTTGTGTGTACAACGTCTTCTGGGGGTACGCCGAGGAGGGCAACCTCTTGTGATGGTTGTTCATGCCAATGAGATCCTGACCAGAATCTGCTCTATGAAGTCGTCCTAGAGTGTTGATCCGAGTATGCGATCCACCATTGATACTCATTTTGTCTTCAACTTAAAAATCACACATTCGACTCAAGGATAAAGAAAAATAAATGTGCAGTACACCTTTGCAGATGAGTAGGGGGGAGGAGAAAATTAAAATGGGAGTTTAGAGGTAAACAGGTAAGCTAAGCCCAACCTGGACCGCTGCTCCCAGGGCTGTCAAGAAGCAAAGCCAAGTAAAACAAACCACAAAGCCAAAAAAAATAATAAAAATCAGTGTACAAGGGAGAGCTGAGGATATTCAAAAGAATGCAGACAGGGCACAGAGCTTTCTCCTGTTGCTCTCTCAAAAGCTCTGTGCCTCTGCCTGCAGGGTGAGTCTGAAGTCAGAGACTGGGGGAGGAGCGGGAGGTGGCAGGTCTTATCCAGCCCTCATGTCAAAGGCTAGAGGCACACCTTTGTTATTGTGTTTCACCACAGTATTGTGATTACTGGTAACTCCCTAAACTATCCTGTCTGCTTCCATGTCCAGCGCTGCAATTCCTAAAGACATGACAGCTTTTATTCACATGAACACAGCAAGCTCTCTGTGCACTGAACAGAGTGCGGAAGCATGTTTGCAAAAACAAATTAAAATAAACAACAATATCCAAACTCTTATACAGCACCAACAATGGATGTTTTCTACTCACTGCTTTCCTAAATGTGACAGAGAAAAACTGATTCAGTACGTAGGAGAGGCCCTAATATTACATGCTAAAATATCTGCCTTTTGTTGAATGTTTACAGGATAAATATTAACAAACGCAACAGAAAACTGCAGAGGATAAAAGCATAAACAGGTCAAATTAAATTATTCACAGAAAGTGCGTAGTGTTTCTTGCACAAAAACATTGCAATGCATTCTGCAGAGTCTATCCCAAATCAGAGGTAGCCACAAGTTAGAATTTCAGTTGTCACCAGATTGTTCACCATGCATTGTATAACTAGAAATATCACAATGCTTTGCCAGCCCATATCCTAAAGCCTATGTCGATCCGAAGAGGTATCTCTCTAGCATAGGGGTGCCCAAAAGGTAGATCCCTAGATGTAGAGCTACAACTCCCATGATGCTTTGCATGCCATCAGAATGACAATGAAGTTGTAGTTTTAAAACCTTTTTGGGATCTACCTTTTGGGCACCCCTGCTCTAGCACATAGCGTATAATCTAGAATGTGTGGGTGCATACACTGAATTGTTTATACAGGGTTTTAGTCAGCTGTGGCCAACAGGTAATTCGTTCCAGCTATCCTAGAACTAACACTCCCATTATGCTTTGCAAGCTATTACCAATGGTTTATAGGCTAGCAAAGGATCTAGGAATTTGTAGTCCTACAAAAGCTAGAGGGTTACCTCAAATCCTTGATTCAACAACAGACATTACAACAGAATAACAATGGCTAGGAGGGATGGAATGCCCACATCGGAATGCAATGATTAAGTACAGTTTGGCAAAGCATTATTTACATTGTACGTCTACAAAACACTCAATTGCTACCAGAAAGCAATCTCGAAAAGCCAATATTTCAATAATTCCGCAAGCAATATTATATAAGTACCATCTGCATCCATCTTCAGCATATGTAGTCATTTTGACATGTATACGGAAGTAAGGTTAGTACAACAAGAATTCAAACTTACAGGGTTTCTTCGCCATAAAGAAGAGCTGACAAGAGAATTGCAATTTTTAAAAACAGCCAAGCTGGGCTGACTGTAAAACTTTGACATTTATCTAAAACGAAATTCTCTTTTCAAATTTTCCCACAATTCCTGAATATATGAATAAACATCATGAAGTTTGAAACATTATTGAAACTAATGAAAGCAAGATATAGAGATATATATATTATAAAATATATTAGATTTCTACATAAAATCCTTACAATGTCACCTTATAGTTACACATCTGGCATACTTCCAAACTCTGACATGACAACAAATACTCAGACTAGATGTGTGGCTTTCTAGGATGTCTGAGGGGCACTACTAACCAAGAACAGAAAGTTAAAGAAAATGTCAACATACGAAATATATAGTCCCCCTCAAAATAGTCATCACTAAATTCACTTTATAAAAATATCCACAATGGCATAAAGGAAAATGAACGAATGTTGTAGAATAGCTGATCTTTATAGATATTAAAAGACACCTGGTTTAAAAATGTTGATAGGTTGCTTTCGTTATATCCTTGCAATCATGATAAGCACTCTAGTCCATGCCACCCAGATTATTCTCTCTAAAGTGCTCGGTTGCAGCAATATAGTATTCCAAATTCAAGCATATTTATAGCCCACAATGAGGTTTAAATACTAGACCTTCATCAAGTCCATCCTAGCTATCAACATTGTAGCTCTCTACAGCAATGTGACAACACCAAACTATTTCAGGTGATTGCTGCTGCAGGGTAATAAGGTACATCCTTTACTACAATGCACAGTCCAGTGCTCCCATTGTCGGAATTTTAAACCCTCCAACGGAAGCACGTTATTTTAAATCTTCTCTCTGTAGCTACTTCAGAAATGGCCCATCAAACCCTTCTAAGGCCATCTTGACTCCTTTTCTTACCAGTAATTATGTTGAATATACCCAGAGATGTGAGCTTGCAAGAAAGTCAGTCATACGTCTCATTCCACAGTACACAGTGTCCCTCCCTGGGCTGAGACCAATGTCTATATTGAAGGAAGTCTTCAGGTTATTTGAACCACACACCAAGCTGTAAATTAATCACCAACCAATACTCACAAGTCATGCTCCCATTTAACTACATTAACCCCATCTATTCAATGAGACTCCTATTACAAGGAGTTTGAACTTATTCCAGTCATTGGCTATTTAGGTCTCACCTTTGCAGCCTTAGATAATGAAAGCAGCGCACTTACCTTCTAAGCATTGTAACTGTAATACAGAGAGGACCCTGTCCTCAACAGTGCCTTTCTCCTAGTCACACAATAAATGGCACAATACTTCCGTACTGCAAACTGTGAAGTACCTGTCTCCTCGCATTTTTGTTCTTATTTGTAACAAAAGGCATTTCAGCTATTCACATTACAGACAGAAGCTTTTGTGCTCAGTAGCACATTGCACATTTTTAAATTTATACAAAAAGGTTTTATGTCACACATTCTGTGTGTCAAGTAGCAAATCAGTAAAGTAAATTTTTTTAGCCAATAAGCACACTGTGTTTTAAATTCCATATTAAATTATATTAACACTGCCAAATGGCTGGATATGAGTATCTGAATGTAAATATGCACTGGATCACGACCAGTCCTGTTTACTCTGTTGCCTGGGCCCCAAAAAAACAAACAAATGTGAGATAAAACACACTTCCAGTAGTAGGAGGTCGTGTGCTCCAGCTCAAAAGGAGTCGGACAGACTGCGGTGGACCAAAAATTAGTTTTTTTGCAATTGAATAACTCCATGCAGAGATAGGCACCATCAATTCATGTGCTGCAACACGTTACTTAGCATATTCCCAACATTAGTCATACCGCACTCTAACCTGTGTGGCAAAATAACAAAGTCATTTAGAGTTGGTGATAGGTTGGACTATCAGATTTGTGTAGGTCTGACAAGTGGAGATGTGTTATATGCACTACAGAAAAGCACAGCAAGCTTGCCATTTTCATCCTGTGATCGCTACTCCATCAGGGGTTCCGCCTCGACAGATTGTACTAAAGAAACAAGGCTCACAATAATGTGATGTTTTGATCACAGTTCTTCTACCAAGCAAAGAAGAAAAAAAAATATTTTAAAGCTTGTATACACTGGGCACATTTTATTAAATCTCCAGGAGGCCAATTGTAGGACAGCTGGCACAAGTTTTAACATTATAAAAGCCATGCAGTAATATTTACCTTCCTGAATTATTTACATCTACATCATCCATATTAAACTAGTTTATTACTATATTAAAGTATAGACAAAGAACACTAAACTGATCATTACAGAGGTGAAGATTAAGAAAACATACTGGGTGTTACGGACTGCAACCAAGGGGTGGTGGGATGGTTATAGATGATGTGCTTGTTTATGAATAAGGTTTACTAGTTCTGTTGGATTACATTTTCAAATGACATCATAGGCACTTTAGCGTTCTACAACTCTTGCGTACAGGAAAATAACTTGTTTTATTGTTACTATCAAATCAAAATAAAAGATATTCCAACCAGTTCATTAACAAAAGAGTGAACTTACAAGCAGATTGCAAGTTGAACGCCAAGTCTGCAGTTAAAACATTCACAGCACCACATAGTTTGGCCTCTTATGCAACTCTGTTACTAAATCCCACAATTCATTGTTTAGGGATTATGAACTTTCAATTAAAGGGTTACACCAACATCAATGGCCACTTCTGCTTTTAAAAGTGGTCATGGAGGAAGGAATCTGTATGTGCATTGTTTCTTCTTGAAATACTGCACATCCAGAGATATTTGCACTTGTGTGCTAGGGGCTAGCTTCGCCCCTGGCACGTGTTAATTTTTAACAAAAATCTTGACTGCCATACTGCCAAATATTAGTTCTGTTCAAAATTGACGTCTGTCGTCAGTGGGCATTGCACGTTGATGACAGACGTTCACACCACCTTCCCTGCAGTCAGCCCCGGCTCCTTATACCCTCTGTTAAATTAAGTTCCCTCCCTCTCTCGTTCGTTCCCCACTCTATCTCCCTGGCTCAAAGCACAGATGCGCTCAGAGCAGGTTAAACGGTCCAATAAAAGGGCTTCTCTATAAGCAGCCTTTAATTAGAACTTGTGACTGCTGCCATGACATCAGACTGGGAGTGCCAAGCAGCACGGAGCTTTGCAGAGCGCTGGATTTACGGTAATTTATACCTGACATACTCTGTGTGCTAATAAGTAACATTTCATACAATTTAAAGTCTCCCATTAAATTAAAGATTACCTGCCATGTTTCCAGTTTGGTGGCCTGAAAAAAAAAAAAAAAATACACAATTTCAGTTAATAACAACTGAATCATCATGAACAGAACTAAAGAAATATAGCTTGTGACAAGTAA